TTCACCAGACAATTTCTTTGAATTTTTAATTGATTTGTCGCAGAAACACAGCATTTTACATTGTATTTGTATTTCTACAGGGTAGCGCCCAAGATTATCATACAGCATAAAAGTAGGCGTGCTTGCTCTAATTCCTATATTTTTTACAGAACTGTAAACGATTTTTTTTTCTATTAAATTTTCATTTTCAAACTCCGAAATCTCAGATAAATATGTAAATATAGGAGCACCTTATACATATAAAAAGTTTTAGTTGCAAACCTTTTCGGTATACTAATACTTATCTACTTACTCAGTTGCAAAATGAAAATATCTTTAAACATGTGTTCGGGTTTATTAGACATGTTAGATGGTCGAATAGATTCCTTATTGTTTAGTTGGTAAAAAATGACCATATACACATCATTATATAGATTCAGTTGTGTGTTTTTTGGTTGGTTTTTTATTCGTTGTTTTTTAAATTTGTTTTCTGTGTCTGTTTTTTGTTTTTATCAATTTATTTCCCTGTTTAACAAATGTGTAATGTATGCGTGCTCTGATTCATTGTATTGTTATATATGTTAAATGGAGAAGACTTCATAAGTCTGATTGACTGGTGTCTCATCCAATTTGTGTTTATGCAATAACAAAATATGTGTTATGCCCCAGTCAAAAAAGACCACGATCGCACCACGCAAACTGCGATCTAAAACAAATTCAAATCGTGGTGAGGTCGCTGTATGAGCGGCATAAACATGTAGATTTTCAGTGTTTGCACGATGCTACTACGTCCTCACTACGCTTCGACAACGATCCCGCTACGATTATACCACGTTCTAACCACGCCTTTTCTGCGACCTCACTACGATTATCACGATCTTACTACGCTCATCACGTTCTCACTAGGACCATGCCACGATTTATTCAATTGCAACACGATCTTACCACGCTTCTTCTGCGATTATAGCACGCTCTTACCACGATCATTTTCCGATTTTACCACGTTCATACCGCAATCTAACTACGCTCTCAGCAATAACGTCAACATCATGTTCCAGATAAATACTGTTCCATTCCTTCTTATTGTCATTATTACGTAGAATTCTCGAAAACAACACTGGCATGCCACCAACATTTTCCAGAACTCATGGGCGTGGTGGAAGGGTAGAGGTAGAGTAAAAGGGGCCTCTGATACGAATCCTGATCCAGTAGATATGTCGAATCAACCAATCTAACCTGAATCACAACGTATTGCTGATCCATCAAGATCAGATGATGATATTTTATTGAACAATATAGTGGGAATGATAGAGATGTGTCAAGCATGGTTGAACTCTTGGAAATTAGGGACATGAGGTCCAAATTACATACAGACAAACAACAACTTTTATACATTTTATGTGACAACGACAATGAGCCTGGCTAGAACTCGAAATGGTCGTAGTATGAACATAGTCAGGTCGTAAGACGAGCGTGATGAGGACGGCATGAGCGTACTAGAATCGTACTATGGTCTTGAACAGCGTAGTATAAACGTGGTATAGTCGTGGAAGAAGCGTTGTTGAGAGAACGTGATGGTCAGAGTAACGTCGCTGTGAGATCGTAGCGCATTCTAGAATCGCGCGTTCTCTACGCTCTAGCTACGATGGTACAGCGACCTTTGCGATCTTACCACGACCTTATTGCACTCTCGCTACGCTTCTACAACGACCTGATTTCGCCACAACCGCACCACGATTGTTTTGAACATGTTCAAAGTTGGCCACGATCATCACAATCATGAAGACCTCAACACGACCGTACCACGACCTTACTGCGATCTACACTATCGCACTACGATCGTCAACATTTGCATTTTTTTCAGCGATTGTAGTGCGATCGTAGCTTAGTATGACTGGAATATAAACTATACTTATATTACGATTTTTTTGTATACAACGAATATAGTGATTTCTGTGTTTGTTCCACTTTTCATAAAAACACACCATTATAATTAAGCAAAATGTTTAAATAGCCATTATCATCCTACTGAATGATCAATATGTATATTTTCCCTAAATATTTCAAAATTATAGTCTACAGTACACTTTATCTTCGAAAACACCCTTACTTTTGTTTTCGATACAACTTTGAGCTTTCATACGGTACAATAGTTTACAATAATTTTCAGTACTTGTCTTAATTCTGGTGCGGATTCTGCAAATATATGCATGTTTGTGTAACAGTATCGTCTGCATATAGTTACACATAAAGTTTCATATCTATACCTAGATTCTCAAAACTAAGAGAACTTAGAGTGTCAATCCGATTACACAATTTGTTTGTATCCAATAACAAATGTACAAGGAAGCTAATAGTCAAGATATTAAAGTTCAAAGCTTATGTTACAAATTACAAAATCATATCAATCTTCAATTTGCCAATTAAAGGTGTTCAGAGCTTATGTTTAAATAACTTTACACAACGTATAAAATTGTGAATAAGCACAATCAAAGGGAGATAATTCGAGATAAAAAAATAATATAAAATAGAGATAATTGTGTTATATTATTTAGTTGGTATGTTCGTATCGCTTTTTGTTAAAGGTTTACCGTTATCTTGAATAACGAACAATATGAACTAAAAGGAAATGATGCATACGTTGGAAGCTTAATGATTAAAAGAGGCTTAATCGAATAACCAATATTTACCAGTTTAACCAAGGTAAACCTGGTTTGTTTGAGTTTTAAACTCAATTGCTAAATTTTTTCAAATTCATCAACGAAGAAGTTAAGAAAAGTATGTTATAAATCCTGCCTTTGCCGATTCACAAAATTCCGACCTACTGATGCCTTATGTACTAACAGTACAGTAGCAATACCAACCACATGCAAAAGACACTAGAAAAAACCCCAGCTTGATCAATTAGTGCATCCGAAGCGTTTTTCTAGACTAACCTGCAACAGGAACAATCAAACACAAAGACAATTTAATGAGGAATATTTTTCTCAATTCGTAAGGTGATAATTTACCACGAGAAACTGAGAGAAATAATTAAATCAATCAAAGGTGAACTTTTTCATTTTAGTATCTTTCAGTGGGGATTTTAGGAAAGGTAAGTTATAGATAATATCAGTACTACCTACTAATCTAATAATACACCGGTGACCGAGTATTCAACAGCGGCGATATGAAATCGCTCAAACCGGAAAATTTTGAAAGGCAATCAGCTTTAAATACTTGAATACTTAAGAAGCTATTTGACAAAAAGGAGCATAAAAAGAATAGGCAACATGCAGCTAAGGTCTACTCAGGTTGAGGATTTTGAAACCTTAGTTTTTAAATAATTTCTTAATTCATCAGTATAAGACCGGGACAAGACAGCAGCACAGTTATTGAATAAACAATAACCTCGAGAAAAAACAGTCCACCAAGCAGAGCTTTCGACCTAGTGCTAGAAAATAAAAAAAATTAGTGAATTAAAGGGGCATAATCTACGAATAAATCAAAAATACTAGTAGATAGTTTGGTTTAATTTCGTCGATATAAGCTAAAACAATCTTTGTTGATGTATTAATGACTTGCAAGGCTATAACTGAATCTCCTACAAATCCGTTTTGATTCAACCGATAAAATTCAGCTTTCAGGTAAATTTAAAAAAAAGCTATTATTACCCTATAACTTCACGTTCCTAGATATGATGTATGATTGAAAATATTTTGTTCGTTTACTTTGCGGAAAGTATCTAACCCATTGAACTTGAAATATAGGACTTATAAAAGAGATGATTTCAGGTTCCCAATCGTAAACTTTTCATTTCCATGCATCAATCCGCTTCCGTAGTGAGCATTTAATTCTCAATTGATACGATTTTTCTCATGAGTATGTTCCAATTGTTGTAACCACATTCCCGTTCTCGTTTCCTCTCATGTGAATTACCGTATTAAACTGATCAGCGTTTCATGCTAACATTAGCAACACGATATTTCCACTTGCGCAGCAGGGTTTTTCAGATCTAGAGAACATGGTATGTTTTGTTTTGGATAGTGTTGTTTGTCTTTTTGGTCGTTTTCGTTTTTTACAATGCCATTGTCAGTTTGTTTTCGACTTTTTACTTTGCTTGTCCCTTTGGTACCTTTAGCCTCTCTTTTACACTAGATATCATGAGAGTATTACTCCCTTAGCAGTCTGCAGTTTTCTATGTTATGTTTTGTTTTAAGTACCTTTCATGGCATATTCAAAGACAAAACGAAATCCAAACATAATAAAACACTGCCGAAGAGCAGCAATACAAGCTCTGTTAATTTGCTTTTTTGCTGTGCATATACCAGTTTTGTGTCATGAATGAATAACCCATATCCTTTGTTTCTTAATTACAGATACCTGACAAGCTTTAAAGATTTGCGAATGAAAACAACAATACATTTAAAACGCTCCAAAAATGGCTCCAATTGAAGTTAAAACAGAAAATGAAGAATCTGATCTATTTTCTACTTATTTCTCCACACCACATTCTTGAAAGGTGAAGACACTTACTCATTCAAAGTTTAAACATAATGATTAATCGGACTGACACATATCGGAAATTTTTCTTATATGAATATTACGAAAAACCCTGTGAGGATTTTACGCTTTTAGGAATACTTTTGAGACACAACTGACACCTTTATATTCCAGGATTATAATTGAAACGAAAATTCTTTATTCTTCCATCAATCTGAACTTCAACAAATAAACAATTAGGACAAAGCATTTTAGAAAATTGAAAAACATTTGAAAAACATAAGTGAGAGGACTTAATTAACCATATTATACGCTGTACTAAATGGTTGATTTTGCAACACAAGTTTAAAACTTGGGTTAAAGCCATTACTATTGTCAGCTCTTAAAACTATTGAAATGCATGAACCCTATCAAAGGTTCTATATAATTCCCTTTGTATAATTGTTAATAAGTAGAAACAATATATTAAAAAAAAAGTGTATTGTTCTTAACAATAAAGTTGGTATTGATATTTTACAGACATTTAAAATCTTTAAAATCGAAAAGTGTAACTGACTATATCATAGCCATTAATAATTGTGCATGGATTGATCTGGCCCTAATATATAATACTCAATTATTTTTCGTGGAAATTGTTAGTTTATTATTCTGAAGGTAAGTATAATAACAATATGGTTTTTCTAAACCGGTGTAAATTTTTCTTTTGTTTAAGTAGATATTCATATATCAATTAATCTCTTTAGTAAGTACAAAAAAGGAATAATGGAATAATGTTAACGTACATACCATTATGGGAAATCATTGTGCATGCTATATCTGATTACACATAAATCTATAAATAGCCATGATATCACTTATACATGTTATAATACCATACAACTCCTCAAAGTTGGTATTGATATTTAACTTTCTTAAACAGACTTCAATTTAATATAAAAGACATACTTTTCAGAAAAGTTGAACACTAAAATCATGTTGTCATCCTTTTTAATGTTTAGGTTTAGCCAACATGACAGAATATATGTATGTCTTCCATGTACAAATTATTTTGCAACCCGGAAAAAGTTTACCAGGATATCATACCATTAAGAATCGATTTTATTGGCTAAAAAGAATACCCATCTTGAGGCAATAGTAAAATTTGGTCTCCTTCTAACTTCTACATAGAACTTTGAACCAAATTCTTCCACGGTTTGTAATCTTATGGATCTATTATTTTTTACACTTACGTCTTTTGCAAAAAACAGTAAGTATTGGTTATTTAAGACCTCAATTTTAGAAATCAGATGTAATAAATGTAAACAAACTAACTGAATTTCATGCGTCCAAACACATTTCTGGAGTTGCCTTCATCAGGAACGCTCGAAGACAAATATTTTATAACCAAGGATCTGTAAGAACGTAATAGTTGACAAGCTTTTAAAACAAAAAGGACATAAAAATATAGCCTAATCTATCTAATAAAATTGAGAATGGAAATGGGGAATGTGTCAAAGAGACAACAACCCGACCATAATACAGACAACAGCAGAAGGTCACCAACAGGTCTTCAATGCAGCGAGAAATTCCCGCACCCGGAAATCCTTCATGTCTACAAAAGCATTTTTGTTTTATCTACCCAATTCTATTGAACAACCTTGATTCATTTGCTGATAAGGCATGTCAGTTCCAGGAGCTTAATTTAGTTGCTTTAAATCCTTTAAATCACCTACTAATGCCAACTTTGCATATTAACCGTGATCTCTTTATTTCATTTAGTTTTTCTTTCCTTATTCAATTGAAAATATCCTTTAAATCACCTACTAGTGGATAAAAAAACTAGTCAGAACTTTAACCAATAAAGTAAGTACTCAAGTTCTAAACTAAAAACCTTCTAATATATGTTAGATTTCCGTAAGCATAAGTATCTAAAATCGACTATTCATCTTAGCTGTAAACTTACAAAAAGGTTATCCATTTTTCAAGCTTAAACAATATATCTAGTAATACCTAGGAACCTACACAAAAAAATCCGAGAAAAATTAAACAATAATTCAGAGAACAAGTGAAGGTCTTTACACGTCAATTTTCATAATAATTGATAAGAAGGTACTTCTGGTTTACTCAAAGTTAGTTTGGACGTTCAATCGTAGGTTTTTTCCTAATGATTTAATAAATATATGGTTTCTATATACATTTACATGCAATGAGGGAGATAATTGACAACTTCCGGTCTCAAATGATAGCTGTGTTTAAACTGACTCTAAAAAAATATGTTTTTTATATACTTGTGCATGTAAAAAGGAGTTTATTGGCTTCTTCCGGTTTAGAAAATGTCACTTTTGATTTCAAATGATATATTTAAACTGATTCCATAAATATATAGTTTGTATATACTTATGCCTGTAATTAGGAAATACTTTGCTACCTCCTGTATATAGAATGTCTCTTCCGGTTTCAAATAATAGGTTCAAGTATACCCATTTAAAATTTATATGATTTTTATGTATTTTTCTATAAAATAAGGGCACACTTGACTATTTCCGGTTCACTCAAGGTCACATCCGGTTGATAATTTCTAGGTCAAACATTTTGCAAAAGACATTATTACTTTATCATGAACCAATCTAAAACCCTAAAATAAAACTTATCAGGGGCAATAACTCCTCTATGGTGTCATTGGATGGTTTCCGACTAAATATACATGTATCGTTTCACCATATCCATAAAGCAAACATTGTTCTTAGATATATTACTTTAAAAGTATCAGAGAAAATGACAAAACAAGTAAAAAACGAAATTGAGATCACGACTTTCACCTTTGACCTTGTCCGATCTTTCTAAGTTAGGACCCGAGGCCCTTAAATAGAAAAGCTTTAGGTTTATACGGCTCACGGTTAATGAGTTGCAGTGTTGGGAGGAAATTTTTACAATCAAAAAAGTTTTCGACTTAACAAAATGAATTTCAAAAGCGCAATAAGTGTTTGATATAATATCCAGAATATCGGAGCGACATCTTGCGAAAAAACTTTATACCGTTAGAAAAGAGTTTGGCAGAAGAAGTAAAAATGATCAGAACACAATCAATAGATCCTCATATACCTTATGATAATAATAATAATAATAATTAATAATAATAATAATATAAATAATAATGAAAGAATAATAATAATAAAATAATAATAATAATAATAATAATAATAATAATAATAATAATAATAATAATAATAAATATAATAATAATAATAATAAATATAATAATAATAGAAATAAAAAAATATAATAACAATGATAATGATAATAATGATGATAATAATAATAATAATAATAATAATATTAATAATAATAATAATAATAATAATAATAATAATAATAATAATAATAGTTATAATAATAATAATAATAATAAAAATAATAGTAATAATGATAATGATAATAATATTAATAAATATAATAATAATGGAAATAAAACACGAATGTGACCTACCGAATTAGACTATTTACCGGGTTTGTAATAACACGAGCAACACGACGGGTGCCACATGTGGAGCAGGATCTGCTCACCCTTCCGGAGCACCTTTGATCATCCCTAGTTTTTGGTGGGGTTCGTGTTGCTTATTCTTTAGTTTTTTATATGTATGATCTTTTTTGGTCATCGCGTTGTCAGTTTATTTTCTATCTATGAATTTGAATGTCCGTCTGGTATCTTTCGCCCCTCTTTAAAAAAAACCCCACTCCGAACTGATAACAAAGCCGGAAATTGGAAAAAAAAACCTGTTGTTTCTAAGATATCATTATTTTAAAGTTTAGCACAATTATTATGCATCGTATTTATTGATGCTTAAAAATATTTTTTTTTCTAGCTTTTTAATGGATCCAATGGAAGAACAAGCTCTGAAACGTTTTGATAGAGTGTACACAAAACTTGGACAATTATCAATTCCAGAGTCAAAAACAATTGATATTGTATTGATACATTCCACAGAATTATTGAAAGGTGAAACAAAGAGACAAAAACAAGCTAGAGACAAGTTGAGAGTAGTTTTTGAAAATAAGTTGAGAAGTGAAGGATTTGATATTGAAGAAACTGTGATTAATGGCGAGGTGTACAAGAATCTTCATTGTTCTTTCAAAAGACTATGTATTGAAGCCGAAGAAACACATTTAAAAATGCCTTTAAAAAATGTAAGTGATTTTTATTGATTTAACTGACCTGGCGGTTACTTGATTTTACAGTCTGGAATATGAAGTTGTAAGGCCATTATTTAAAAAAAAAACATAAATACCGAACCTTAAAAAAAATCCAAATGGATAGTCCCTACTGGCAAAATCAAAGACTTAATAGATATAAGAAGATTTGGTATGAGTGCAAATGAGACAACTTTCCATTCAAGTCACAAGTTCTAAAAGTAAACCATTATAAACACATTAAACGAAAGGCGAAGAACTGTCATAATCTGCATTTGGTACTGGCATTTCCTTATGTAGAAAATGGTGGATTAAAGCTGGTTTTATAGCTAGTTCAATGTATGATAGTCGCATAAAATTCCATAATGTTGACAACAATGTGTGATCAAAACAAACAGACATTATAATTAAAAATGTAAATAATAGGGGCACAACAGTCAACATTCGGTTATAATCTTAATCACTATAAAAACAATAAATATGTCAACAAAGAAAAACCAAAGACATATAGACAAAGCTTATAATTAAAAATGAGAGACAAGAATACATATCGACCATAGCACAATAACACATTGGCAGATTGTCCCGAGCCACGCCAAAAGGATATTACGACAAAAAAGGTTTATAATTTACCCAGACAATTACACGAGTACTATAACACGTGATTAAGATTGTAAACACTATTAGAATCTAGAGTATAGACATCAATACCATCGTGTCTTATTTGTGAAGTTGATACACAATATTTATCAACAAAGTCGTGGTATCTTCCGGTGAACTTTATAAGAGCAAGGACGAGTCGTTATTTGACATAACCATACCGAATGAGTTAGGAAATGTATATCTCATAGGCAGGTAAAGTTTGTAAATCTCTACTTAAGTCTGGGAAATTGTTTTATTCGTCATAGGTTCTGGTACTGTTATGACGGCTTATAGTGTCCAGAAACCATAACAGATTGCTTTATGATAGATATCGAAACATAACCCCTCAAGTAAATATAATATTTGAGGCGAATGTGAGTAAAAGTAGAAAAATTGCGATTTTCGAACTTCATATTATTGACAGCATTACAATTTGTTTAAACTATTTTCAATTAGTAACAACATAGACGGTAGCATTTTTTTCTGCAACAGATACGCATTTCGATACACAAGTATTCATTATTTTTATTCTACAGATGCTGTGGTTATGAGTAAAACCTACTACAAACGCCTATAAGATTGTATGCATAACTTGTTGGAGAATATCAAGTAACCACAGACATTCTTTTTCTTCAATCCTTGAACATTGCGTCAAACAAAAGCGACTGTTTATAATGAATCTATCAGTCATGTTATGTTTAAACGTATAATTTATTTTGCAGTCAATGCATATATATCCAGAGGAAGAAAAAACCAACTGCTTTTCCAAATTTGTGTGCAACAAATTTGCAACTGATGAAAATAGTAAGTTTTCAGATATGTGTCAAGTACAAGTTGATTGATATACGATTTACAAATGTATATATAACGCTGATATATTGTGGTCCCAAATAAGTATCATGTGCACTTTCAATACACACAGAATGATTCAATTTAAAATCACACTTTGAAACATGTTTAAATTGAACCCTGATGATTAGTTGGTGATTCAATCTGATATACACATACTTGAATATTCCATGGGTATTATATACAATGCATTCATACACATGTTATATAAAATTAGCAACATTAAACCTGTTTCACAGTTACTCACTCAGTTCTGGGCATAGTTAAACAATAAACAGTAAAGTTGCACTTGATATACACGACGGCCGATGACACACGTGGATCTGCTAACCATACCCTTTCAACGCAACTCAGATTACCACCGGTTGTTGGTGGGGTTAGTGTTGCTCATCCATTAGTTTTGTATGTTGTGTTTTGTGTCCTGTTGTTTCTTTTTTTGTGTGTGCCATGGAGTTGTCATTTCATTTTCGTCCCTCTGATATATTTGCAATTCTTTTATAGGAAAAAAAACCCCATGAAACTACTCATAACTTTTTTGAAAGGTCGATTACCGATTTATTTTTCCTGAAAAAATCTTCAAATATTTTACTGAAAATTTTAAAGAAAATACTCTTATAGAATTACCTAGACTTTTTGATCTCAAACATCTTTCGTCTCAAATTGCCCCGATCTGACTACTAGTATTTAAAGATAAGTGGCATTTACATCCAGCTTACAGTATGGTATATGTTTGGGCCGGTAGAAATATTGTAGAATATTCGTCTGCACATTGAAGATTTACTCCTCCTAATATACACACTGGTCGCACAATGTTTTGCAGATTTTTCATAAGCTGAATCTAATATTTATTTTAATAGTGCAATCTTGATGGACAGTATCCTTTACATGTTTTTGATACAATCCAATGTTTCATCATGTTTCAGCCTATCCTTCAAACTTTGTTGAATGTTTATTTATACGTTAAAAATGTCCTCTTTATTTCGAGTATACTCATTTAGTCAAATACTATCTCTGTTTCAGCTATTGTCTTTTTTTTGTGACCATTTGTGTTTAGATATCAATTTTTTGTATTATCATTTGAATAGATGCTCCTTTAAAAATATCAAAAACTATTGTTATTGTAAGTTATATGGCTAGCAGTCAATCACAAAATACAGTTGCAACCGAGCATTTTTTTCATTAACCTAGTTATGATTTTTGATTTGCTTTATTTATATTTTTTGTATTTTTTTTTCGGTAAGAAAGAAAAGAAAAAAAATTGATAATAAGCGGTTTATCTCAACCAGGTTTTAAATCCATAGCTATCGTACAATAATATCTATTTTTTAAAGAGATAGCAGTTCTAGTGGTGCAAAGGATTGCTTACTTCTGGTTTTATTTCAGTTACAAAACATTATTGTTAGTTTTCTGTCATACAAGACAAAAGTACGATATGTCATTTTTTCTAAAAATTGTGTCATTTTTTTCATTAATTGTGCGTTAATGCATATCAGAAGACGCTTGTCCTATCTCAAATATATAATATCTATATTTGCATTGCTAATACATTTTTTTTGAGTAATATACAATGATATAGTGAATGTTTCGTGGTAACATTACCTTTTTTTATGTTTCAGATTTAAATTATATATCGTCCAGATTTATGATGGAGAGAATACATCTATTTGAAAACTATCATGATCCTTCTAACTTCTTCAGACCAGCAGTCAGGACATTACTGGTAAACGCTAAATACTGTACATTCGTAGATCCTAATTTCGTTGAAAATTTATTACGTTGAATATCTAACATTCTGGTTCACTCATACCCATTAAATGTCTGAAAATTTGTACCCAACAAAGAAGTTCTTAATATGCAATTTGATAACATATTGTCTGTTTCAGCTATCATTTTCAAATGGCTGAGTGTTGTTTAATTTTACTTACATGTAAAATTCAGTAAATGTACAGCTGAAGTACAATAATGTATACTTTGATAGACAAATTGTGTGCACTAGGTTCATGAATCTTTTTCGAATGCGGCAAGGTTCCATTGCGTATTTTCCCTATTACAAATTTTGTAACATATGTAAATAAAGTGCCATTTAAACGATAATATGAAGGAAGAAACCAAAGGAATGAACAAAAATGGAAGTTAAAATTAAGTATACTTCGTTCTTATGGTGTACTGTTACACCACTGCCCCAGGTTTTAAGTAGGGTTGGGATCCCGCCGCTGACATGTTTAAGCCCTCCACAGTTTGTATGTATGTGCCTGGCTAAAGTCAGGAGCCTGCGATTCAGTGGTTGTCGTTTGTTGCTGTGTTACATATTTGTTTTTCGTTCTTCTATTTTGTACATTAATTATGCCGTTAGTTTTATCGTTTGAATTGTTTTACATTAATTTTATGATTTCGGGGCCTTTTTAGCTGACTATATGGTACTGACTTTGCTCATTGTTGAAGGCCGTACGGTGACCCATAGCTGTAAATTTCTGTTTCATTTGATTTTTGTGCAGAGTGGTCACATTAGCAATCACACCACATCTTCTTTTTCATATTACAAATATATTGTGAAAATTGTAATTCGTAGAAAATCCCTCTGTTATAAACTTCTGTCATTGTAATGATGGAATTATAACAAAAACCATGGAGTGAGAATTCGAAAAGATCCAGTACAATGAATGGATATATATCCACACGATAATAAACAGTTTACTAGAAGTCTAACGATATAGAATTACATAAAGTAGGAACACCAAGGGTGATTGGGATATAGAAACATAGTCACTCTTGATCTTCTTCCGATCGGTATTTAAACCCTTGCCAAAGCAGGTACACAGCCACGTTCAGCCAATGACGACGTTAAATCCGAAGCCTTGAGTAAAGATAGTGCAACGCTATTCGCATATTCAGAACCCTTGCAACCATTTTTGAGGAGTCCATATATCCGTATCTAACATACCATTATTTTCCAGTGTAGTTGTCCTTGAACTTCAACCCACATGGTCTCTATTACCGGATCAACATATTGTATTTATTTTTAAATAATTCTCGTCCTGAACATGCACGAAGTATTTGCCAGTGGACGTTTACAACCTACAATCAATTTATGAATGTTGTCTAAAAAAAGACAAAAATATGTTAAATGTAGTATAACATAAAGGACATAATAGAGTATATTAGATCAGGACATGTTTTTATATTCTATTCTTCACCCGAATCACAATGATATCTTTTTACATAAAGCAGAAACTGGATATGTAGCAAACAAAACATCCTTTAGTCATGTAATTGTTTGTTTTTCATTTTGACAGGTTAATCATATTCTTATCAATATGAACATCAGCAATGATGTCCAGAAAGATGACATTATTTTATTAGATGATAATGTTGATAAGGAGTTCTTTTCAAGAAAGAAAAAGAACACAGGTTTGGATCTGTTTTTCATCATCTAATTAAATGCATTACAAATTTAGTCTTCCTGCAAAATTTGCTTAAAACATGTTTGACATCTATTTCACATTACCTTAAAAGCCACATATTGTCAATATTATAGAAATATTAATACACAAAGAGGGGAAATACATCTAGTGGTCAACCTAGCTGTGATCTTTAGACAGACAAATGTTTACAAAATATGTGAAAATTCTAAACCCAATGGGTCTAGAAAAACTGAATGTTTTTTAAAGACTATCAAAGATCTGCAATCAAACACTTATTTATTATGACACGAGTTGTTTAAAGTAAAAGAAGACTACGTATGAAATAAATACTTGTATGTGGACATTATAAATGCATGTGTGGTTGAGTTATAGTATATGTGTTAGACTTAGATCGACGTCCGGTCCCTAATCGACATCCAATTCTCAAATCGATGTACAATAGGATGTCAAATTCTTTATTCAGTGTCTAACATTTTAGTCTACTTATCAACGTCCAATGAGACAGCATGTATTACCAAAACGACGTCCGAGTTATCGGAGTCTCCTCTTAACGATTTATTATATCATTTTAAACCATTTATTTATAGTTGGCTCTTTGTTTGTATTATCTGTATTGTAACGTTTTTGTGTAAAGGTGCTTACAGTGACTTGCTGTTTCTTAAATTTCTATCAAAATATAAGAACGAACATTAAACGTACCAATAAGACAACCACCGAGACCATATTTCACGCGTCTGGCGTATTAAATTATCAGCCTGTTACCTTTGATAAATATTTACAAGTACGTACATATTGATATTTTTGAGAATTAAGTTCATCTTCTATTCATATAAATAAATGGCAAGTTGATACACGTAAATGAGACTACAACGGAACGACAATCATAACAGAACGACATTAACAGGGCAACGCACAGTCTCAAAACAATAACCACAATTTAAAAAAAAAGTACAGCGAATTGTTCACAAGTTTTATTATTTGGACTTTGAAAGATTTAAAATAATCAAACCCATTTCGAATTCTTGGATTGACGAACTTTTTAATAAAGTTGTGATGTCATTTAGACAAGTTCAGTTGAGGACCAATATTTCTGGCTTCATCAATTTAACGTCTACGATATTATAACTCCAACTTTGAAGCACCTTTTTTATAAATAGCATTATTTCTCTTTTATCGACAGATGCAAGTTTTGATAAAGCAATAGACAGAAAGATTCAAATATTAAGTGAGTATTATGAAAATCTAATTCACCTTTATGAGAAAGTATGATGAAATCATGATCTTGCCCCAAAAACGGTAAAAAATGCAATATATTTTTATTCACATTCAAAAGTATGTTAATTCTTATGACAAATGAATAGTATTATATAATCATAATACTTTGTAGAATGTCAGTTGTGACGTCAAAATTATTGCAAATTTGACCTATTTGATCCTTATAAATTTTAGACTTCAGCATATGACATGACTTATATACATGTAATTAAAAAAATTATACGAGGAAAGTCGACATTTTCTAGCTTGATTATACAATGAAGCAGGCATGCGCCTTGATAAACTACAGAACACATTTCAATAAATATGATTTTTTAAGCAGGAACATTGTGGTTACGTATATGTGTAATATCGGGATTTCGTTGTACTTCATTTTAAACTTTATAACAATGTTCCAGATTTCCCTTACATGACGAAACTGAAAGTGTACACAGACTATTTAATTTGCCACGAGCCTTCAAAAGACAGCCAACATTACGAGGAACAGTTTGGCAGTACTTTATATAAAAATAGTGAAGATAAACATAAAAGAAACAAACATTTACCACCAAAGGATTTTAGGAAAGATCAAAGAAAAGTTTTGTATGATGACTGGAAAAGAGTTTACAAATTCCAGCCTTTGACAAACATTCGTTATTATTTTGGAGAAAAAATCGCCTTTTATTTTGCCTGGAAAGGTTTGTTAATGACAACGCTATGGGTGCCAATGTTTCTAGGTCTGGTCATCTTTATATATGGGATAGTACGAAGGTAATACAATTTGATAGTTTAATTATACCTTTTTCGTGAACATGAAATTGAATACCTTTTTGTTCCTTGGATAAAATGAATCATGAATAGCATATTATTTCAAAGTTACTATTTTTAACAACAAGACACCTGGAGCTCATGATAAATCCTTCAAAAATATGTTAGTAGTCCACATTTATTTCTTTTAGAACATTTCTATCCACAAGATTTAAATTTCATACTCAAAGAAATAGATAGAAATACAAACCAAAAGATGTGTTGATATCCATATGAAATTAAAGAGACATAAAACTTTGTCTTAATCTTTTGTTCACATGAATGACATATTACATTTTAAAAACTAAAAGCAGTTCAATATCTTTTATTTCTAAGAAGGAAGTTCATGTGTGCATGTTGAAATGAAAATAATCAACCATTCAAATGCTTACTTTACCTCAAAATAGAGATGTTGCAGAACTGAAGTACTTGGATACGTATACGTATCGAAGTATTCATATACGTGCGGAACAGTTAAAATGAGTATTTTTTTTGTTGAACTGATCACTCAATAAACATATTGATTTAATCAAAAAGTGGTATATTGTCATGTGTCATTGCATGCTTTATTTATAAACAAAACATTGAGATACTGAAAAATGAAAAATGATATTTAAAGATATAAATCGGAACAAAATTTAACTTCGAGATTCCTTCGAGTGCTCTCTATTCAATTAAGAATGACTCAAAACTTGTGTATATAAAATATCTTCCGTTTTCCTTATGTATTAATACATTAAGTAGCATTTGGAGAACAAGATCATTTAAGGAGCAACCATTTAACTTAAAAAGAAAAGAGGGAGTATGGTTTTTTGTCTGAGTTAGAATTTTTTTCGCGATCAATTTTATTCAGTTTTTCAACGCTAGCAATCGAATAATTTCTCAATATTAAACACCCCATAAAGCATGGGGAAAATCTGAAATTCAGAATATATTTTGTTTTTATCAAATTGGGGGTTAGAATACTTTTTTCATAAAAAAAAAAACTAACAGCCTTCCCTCCTTGAAGTTGAATAGTCGTTACCTTAGATATTTTCACAAATAAAATCCTGTCACATTGGTGACGAGTACCATGACATTATGAATTGTAGAACATTAAAACTAGAAAGAAGCAAATTTTTAATTGAATTATGATATTTGGCTTTTTATAACTCATGCAGGAATGCAAGTTTGAGCATTTTATATTGTGCAATGCTTTACGATTCTATGATCCATCTTTATGTTCGTTAAACAATGTGTAAGTATGTTAACTTGCTCAGTACTTATCACTAAATAGTAAATTTACTTCGACGTATTTCAAAAAAAAAGGTTAAAATAGTTTTAACTAAATACAAAATTTCACAAAACAACTTATTTTGATAGGTTTAATCGTGTTGTATCTTGAAGATGCATGCATAAATTTACATGAGTTTCCACAAAAATGTATCTCTGCCCCGGTAACAGTATTTCTTTGAAAGAAAAACAATCCTTAAAATTGCGTCAATCTTATCATGTTAAGAAAGTCAGGTACATCTTTTCTATTCAAGCTTGTTTTGGTCACCTGTTTTGTCGATTAAATGTTTAATACAGTAACAAAGAGTATATCACCTCGCTTCAAATTTCATTATTCATATATTTCAAAGCTATGTACATGTATATATCAACATTTAAATTTCATATAACTAGAAAATAAAATATATGGGTCAAATATCTTTGTAATGCGTCATCATAACAAGGTAGGCGTGTTTGAATATTAAAATAACATAGTGCATGCATTTAATTTTATTAGACCAATTATTATAATAACATAATTGCATATTAATTATCTTATTCATGAAAGTGATCTTTAAAATAGAAGTCGGATCCCCCTTTTATGCAAAAAAAATTGGACGAGCTTTTAAATTTCATTTTTTTTTAAATTTCATCAGTTGAAAAAAGAATCCCTTTTTTATAGATATTTTAAGTAACTTATAGCCTTCAACTTCTGAAATTTTCTTGTTTACCCTTTCATGAAATGTTTTCATATAATTTTTGAGAATAATAGTGTTTAAATTTTTTTATTGAACTTTAAAAACTTCGTCGTGACAAACAATTATACAATCACATTAAGTGTTATAAAGACATACACATATGTTTAATGAAGAAACCTTTATCTTTCCGAATATTATTTGTACGTAAATCCGTAATGAAGCAATGTAAATAAAATTGCCGAAACGCGTCATCTCTACATGGTCTGTCGTTTTCGTCATGTACGATTTCATATGCTGTGAGTTATAAACTTTTTTTATTTACCGAAGAATTTTGTTATTATAAATTCATTACATATATTATATACATACAGGAATATAATAGTATAAACATTGCGAACAATAATTTAGATAAAAGATTTTAGAACAATGATGAAATACTAAAGCAAATATTTTAATGTAATTGCCTTTTCAGATGACAGTTTTTAGGAATATATTTCAAAGCAAAAATGATTTACGTTAACTTAATCTCATCAGTGTAATTTTTTTTTCGCTCTACAATTCACAAGTGAAACACTTTCTTTATCACAGTTTACCCATACCTCTCAAATACATATCTATGGTATTTATTGATTATTTTTTGTTCGTCCTGAACATAAAATATTTTGTACCACATTGAACAAAGAATAATCAATCATGATATATAGGCATCTCTGTACACAGTGGGATTTACTGAATTTTAAAGGTTCGTTAATAAATTTACATTTATTGCTATTGACTTCACGGCTATCGCTTTAATATGTGCTGAAAGGAGCAAATATTTTTTGCTCTTCTAATCATAGAGAGTGTTGAATGTGACGTACCTGAAACACCACCCCTAGTGGATGTTCCGTCGTCTATGTTTTTATATTTATCAAAATATGCCCATCCCTTTAAAGTGGTTCATGCTGATTTTAGCAGCCCCCAAGTTACACTCACTTCGGAAATTGGTTTATACGTCAAATACGTCTTGGGAATATTCCATTTTACTCATCGCTCGATGTACAACATTTGATTGGTTGAGTTAAACAGCAAACTTCGTAGATACATTGGATACGTTGGAGGAACGTTCCATTTTACCCCACTTGCGATGTACACCATATGATTGGTTGAGTTAAACAGTATACTTTGTAGATACATCGGATACGTTGGAGGAACATTCCATTTGTGATGCTGTTATTTCATTGGCTGTTCGATACGTAAAGAAACTTCACAGGAAGGTTCCATTTTACTTGTCGTGCTAATCAAGCGAACCTTGCTCAACTTCAGTGTACTCGTTATTTGATTGGTTTAGATATACGTACATTGGTTTAAAGAAACTTATCTGGAATATTCTGTTTTAAGCCTCTATGGAGTGTCTTGGTTTATGTTGCACCTGATATTTTTGTATGTAATAAAATCGAAATTAAACGTCACAAAAAATGAGAAAAAAAAACCAAGTATCTTAATCACGATTATGTGTTGGATCCTATAAGAAAACGTTGAACTCAAACACACCTTAAGCCAAAAGTTCAGAAAGTTGAACACACCTTATATAATAAACGAGGCGTGTTTGAATTACAATTATGGATACGTCGAAGGAACATTCCATTTTTGATGCTGTTATTTCATTGGCTGCTAGATACGTACAGAAGCTTCTTAGGAAAGTCAATTGTATTTGTCGTGCTCATTAAGTGGACCTAGCTCGACGTCAACTACTTTTACTCATCTTTTTGGTTAATCTATACATAAAGTGGTTTTTCAGAAACTTTTTCAATTTTTTATTTCAAGTATCTAAGTGATATATTCCCTTTTTCTTGCTCAGAATTTCACATGATAAATATGTTATTATTATTTGTGGACATTAATCATTGACTAAAACTATCATTTCATGAACTGTTCATTTCGGTATTCAATGTAGCCTATTAGGTTTGACTTTTACATTAACTATATCTATGTTAAAATTCATTTGGCTAGGATCAAATTTGAAAAAAAAAACATGAAAGGAATTTTGATTTAAAAAAAGGCAGGATAAACTAATAAAAAAGGGAGGACCGAAGAGAAGATACAATAAATAGGCTGGAATTTGTTTTTTTTTCTTCTCCCCCCCCCTCCCCCCCCCCCCCCCCCCGGAGAAAAATCAATTAATAGCTCCCTAATAGGTCCTGCCTTTTTATTACTTTATTTTGACTTTTTTAACATAAAATGTCATCCTGCTTTCTTTTTGCTAAGTTGCTCATCCTGTATTTTTTTTACTCACTTTTTCTCAAATTTTCATCCTAGCCCCCACCCCTTAAAAATCAAATGGTTGCTGCCTAACCTTAGCTTTGATTTATTTCATGAATACCTATTACACAAAACTGGAGCTATGCTAGACATTCCGTTTAACTTTGACTTTTTAATGTCCCTTTGGTTTCCTCCGCCTCTTGTATATAAAGGATTGTTGTGTTTTAATTTCAGAATTATTTATTTTTATTGAACACTTGAATTCTATCAATCTTCAAAATATGCAATAACAAATGCGATTTTCATATATATGGTACATGTAGCTGAATTTTATATTCCATTTTTTTTCTAATTGTCATACGAACTATGATTTTTTTGCCTAATATTTTGTCTATTAATTATGAAATCCATTAGGTCTGTGTCGAGAATTCATATTTAACAGTCTTACCACAACAGCCATTCGTTTATTCTAAGCAATACCGTTCGCTAAAATACAAATGGAATACCCTTGACGAAGATAATCACTGTTTATATTTAAATCATGCTGTTAAGAATAAAAAAATACAACATCGGACCAGTTGCCGCCACGGTCAACTCTTTTTTCTCAATTACTGTTTATTTACCTTGTCATACATGCGAAGTAATACCGGACGACTAAAACACTCAAGCAAACATTCTGCGGTTAATTGTTAGTGTTCGTACACAACATAGATAGATATCAACTGCAAACATTAAGTAAGCAATGTAGTTTAAAAATTTAATCTTTGATAATTCATTATAGCAGATATAGAATCCAAACGGCCTATTCAGGAATTTTTCAAACATCGCTTTAAACGTGAAAAAGGTCGACGAAATACTTTAAAACAGTTATTACAATTATCGTGTGGCACGTCTTAATTTTACATAGCTTCACTCCTTCATATAAGGACAAGGGAATGAGAAATCGTGTATACTACGAATACATGTAATACTCATTTTAGCATATTCACAAATACTTCATATACGTTCCGTCATATACGGATACGTCCTCGATACGTGAGTTCTGCAACAGCTCTCTTAATTATGAGTCATTGTATCGTAAAAAGTAGTCTTATTATATGAAATAATAGAAAGACGTGTTACAATTAATCATAACATATGTTTACTTTATTTTATACAGTGCCCGTTTTTCAACTGATAATTCAAGGTAATATTTGTTTTTTGAAAGTTGTTTTGTGAGTTCACTTTGTATATTAGATTGATTACGCAAAAATAGTTAGAAATACAATTCCCTTTGACAAGAATCCTTGAACAGAAGGATCGGCGTCAAAAAGACAACGAGCGCGGTTTGAAATCACAATCTTAAAATGACAGGCTAGTGATCACTGAATTGCACTAAATGTATAGGATTGGCATTAAGACCCATGTATGACATGTGGAAGAAGAAACTTTCATTAATCATATGCTAATGAAAGTAGATTGAAATAAGTTGAATGACTCCCATTTACGTTTTCTTATAAAGGAATCGATGCTATCAATATCAGCAACCTTCTTCATCAAGAGGTACTATATGAATTTCGAATTTATTTTCAAAATCAGTCTGTTCCTATTGTTACCTACAGTTATACCAAAAAATTTGCACCTTAAGATTTTAATTATAACCAGTATTGCAGGACCTTGACTTAAAGAAATACCTAACAAATACCTCTGACATGTGACTGTTTCCACTTGCTTTATCTTTCAAACTACTATATCCATGGCAGTACATACGATCTGGTTGACTGTACTAGTTCAGGCATATGATAGTCTTTTTCGATTCGTTTATGTTGTTTGTGCTTTTGAAATTGTTAAGGGTTTTTGGGTTTTGGGTTTTTTGTTTTTTATTTACTTTTCACATAGGGCAGAGTGTTTCCTTTGAAGATATTTATATGAAGATGTAAAATAAAGCTGTTGTGGTATGATTGCCGGAAAGATAACTTTCCACCATAGACAAAAAGGAAATGAAAGTTAACAACATGAACAAGTATAGGTCACATTCCGGCTTTCAACAATACGAAAAACTTATACTGCATAGTCAGCTTTAAATGGCCCCTAAATCACAAACAAGACAATTTATAAGAGAAAAGTAACGGTCTTGTTTGTGTTCAAAACAATGAACGAAAAACAAATATGATCAACAACAACAAACAACATCCACTGAATTACATACATGCAAATGTATACAAAGTGTGGAGGAGTTAAACTATTTTTTTTAAACACCAAACCCTACCCATATTCTGTGACCATGATGGAACCGTACAACATAAAGAAAAACTATAAAACAGTTGTTATCCATTCGTTTGATGTGTTTTAACTTTTGATTAAGAACTTTCCGTTTTGAATTTTCCTCGGCGTTCAGTAGTCTTTTGACTTTTTTCTAACCTTTCTAAATGTAACATAGGCTTGATCTTAGTCTAAGATATATGATTATTTTCATTAGTAGTTAATGGCATTGCACTAGCTGTCAGTAACTGCGGGTATGCTGAGATTTGTGTTTTATTGTCTTTTTTTGGCGATGTATTAGTACCCAGCCAAGTCTACTTTGTGTTTTGTTAGATATATTTCTGTATTCATCTGATGAATTAAGCAATTGTCAAATGATTTTATAGTTTGTTCTCATGCTGTTCTGTTACACCTCTGTCCCAGATTAGTGGAGCGTTGAGCGCGCATCGCCATGTTCATTCGCGCCTCATTCTTTATGTGCCTGTCCCAAGTCATCAAGTCAGGAGCCTGTAGTTTAGTGGATGTTGTATGTTCATGTTTGTTATAATTGTTTTTTAGTAAACTGTTTTGTTATAAATTTTGCCTTTAGTTTTCTCAATTCAATTGTATTATATTTACATTTCAGGGCTTTTTATTGTCGACAATACGGTATGAGTTTCCTGCTCCTTGTTGAAGGCCATTTGGTTGCCTATAACTGCTTACATCCCTCCCGTTTACGCTTTTTGGGATAATTGTCTCTTGGTGGATATAGTTGTTTCATTGGCAATCATATCACATCTCCTTTTTAGCTAACCTGGCCCAAAGGGCCAGTTGAGTTTTTCTCATCACTTGGCGTCCGTCGTCATCCGTCGTTGTTAACTTTAACAGAAAACTTCCCCAGGTCAAGATCTATCTGCCCTGAAATTTTCAGACAAATCGGACATCCCGTTTTAGGTTGCTGCCCCTGACTTGGTAATTTTAAGGAAATTTTTCAGTTTTCTTGAATATTATTATAGATAGAGATAACCTGTAAACAGCAATAATGTTCGGCAAAGTAAGATCTACAAATAATTCAAATGACCAAAATGGTCAATTGACCCAATAAGGAGTTATTGCCCTTTAAAGTTAATGTTCAACAATTTTTTGTAAATTTCTGTAATCTTTTATAAAAGTCTTCTCCTCTGATACAACTGAGACAAATGTAACCATACTTTGCCACAATCATTTTTAATGTATCCAGTTTAAAAAATGTGTATAATGACCCTACCTGCCAACCAACATGTCAGACATTGCTAAAAATAAAACATAGGGGTAAAATGCAGTTTTTGGCTTATATCTCTGAAACTAAAGCAAAAGTAACACGGTTGCATTATTTCATGCATCAATTGTAAATAAAAATATCAGGTGAGCGACACAGGCTCCTTGGAGCCTCTAGTTTTATAATGCTGATGAGTCTATTAAAGAGAAATTTAAAATAATTTAATGTGTGTTAACCTATTGGGACTGGTATTTGTTTCGTCATAAGAACTTTAAAAGAGTTTTCGACAGGTATTTTATTAAAAGTAGATTGGGAGATAAACATTCAAAAACTCGTTGGAAGTACTTGATAAATTTTGCATGCATATATTGGTGATTTTGAATCTGTTCAAAGTGTGTTTTGATTTTTCTACCCTATATACCAATTTGCCTCCTATTCTTATTAAGAAAAAATATACACACCTAATTAAATGGGCATTTAAAAAGTCGGAATGCGAATACATATGTTCAAACTCTTTTAGGTCATTTTTTAGTAGCAACAAACAAAAGAACTATGTCAACTGGACATGTTTTGATACTATATCTGCCCTTGAATTTTTACTTGATAACATTTTTGTTCGCTTTGGAGATTCCGTATATAGTCAAGTTATCGGAATTCCAATGGGGACTAACTGTGCACCACTTATTGTGGACCTATTTTTGTATTGTTATGAGTTACAATTTATGACTAAAATCAGCAAAGACCCATCGAAACAACATCTTATACTAAAATTTAACAATACTTTTAGATATTTGGATAATATATTGGCTCTCAATAATGACGACTTCAGTATGTATACTAAAGAAATTTATCCTGTTGAACTTACTTTAAATAAAGCTAATACTAACAATGACCACTGTCCTTTCCTCGATCTTGATATCTATATCATTAACGGGAAGCTTAATACAAAAATTTATGATAAAAGAAATGATTTTTCATTTCCTATCGTTAATTATCCATTTTTAGATGGTGACGTTCCCTCGTCACCATCTTATGGTGTTTATATATCTCAACTTGTACGATTCGCTCGTGTATGTAACAACGTATTAGATTTTAGCGAGAGAAATTTATGTATTACTGAAAAATTATTACACCAGAGTTTTCGATATCATAAACTAGCCAAACATTTACTAAATTTTATCATCGGTATGAGGACACCATTCGTAAATATAAATCAACATGCAGACATCTTATACGTTCGGGTATTTCACATCCAATCTGTTATGGTAATATTCTTTACAAAGCACAAAAATGTCAGTATTCACCTCAAAAGCTAACAAAACCTTTAAACAGACTTATTAAGAAGGGATATAGTTACGATACTGTTGTCAGGTCATTAAAGATTGCATATTTTGGCTTTAATATTGATTCACTTATAGGGTCTTTGCATCGGATTAAACACATTTATTCTAAAACCAGTTGTTGGCATGACACGGGTTATGTGCTTCTCATATATTTTATGACGGTATAATACTAAACCCTTAACAGGAGGGATTGTGCCTGATATTCATATGATGAAGACATAATCTTTCCATCATTTTAATTGAGGTCTGGAGCTGGCATGTCAGTAACTGCTTGTAGTCTGTTGTTATTTATGTATTATTGTCATTTTGTTTATTTTCTTTTGTTTCCTTTTCTGACATCGGACTCGGACTTCTCTTATACTGAGTTTTACTGTGCGTACTGTTGTGCGTTTGTTTTTCTACATTGGTTAGAGGTATAGGGGGAGGGTTGAGACCTCAAAAAACATGTTTAACTCCGCCGCATTTTTGCGCCTGCCCAAGTCAGGAGCCTCTGGCCTTTGTTAGTCTTGTATCATTTTTTATTTTAGTTTCCTGTGTATAATTTGGAGTTTAGTAAGACGTCCATTATCACTGAACTAGTATACTTATTTGTTTAGGGGCCAGCTGAAGGACGCCTCCGCGTGCGGGAGTTTCTCGCTGCATTGAAGACCCATTGGTGGCGTTCGGCTGTTGTCTGCTCTATGGTCGGGTTGTTGTCTCTTTGACACATTCCCCATTTCAATTTTCAATTTTATTCAAGAGATGAATTGACTTTCTATTATAACCAAATGTAATTATAAAAACTTTTGACCGCAGTGTTAGCACTGATGGCATTTTTTTCCCCAACTTAACACAACAGAGAGAAAAAACCACTTTTTTACAAAACAAAAACAAAATTCAATTCAACTTGAGATAATATTTCACTCAGATGTTTTCTTTTTTTTAGCACAACTAACAGTACAACGTCAAAGTGAGTATTATGATCATGACACATGTGCTAGTAGTTATGTATACATCTAGTTTTCTTTGCCTTTCCGTTATTGATACATTTTACAGGTATCAACAAGAAACCCCACATATTTTAGAATATTTTCATTACAAATAAATGTATGTTGAAAAATTTCATATAAATAATATATATTTCCTCGTATATACTGAACACATTTAAATAACAGCTTACGTATATACTTTAAAAATCTTCAGCCTTTGGTTACTTAACCGGGTTGGAAGAAAGTCACATATCGGCTTTCATTATGATAAAATCGGACTTAAAGAAAAGGTTCAATCAATTCCTCTAGCATTTTAATGATCAGAACTTTGAAACATAGTGTTCACGTAAATGTTGTCGCTCGGAATTTCACATAGTGTAGATAGTTTTAGATAGTTTTATTTCATTGTCTGTTTCGCATGCGACGAAAGGTTTCTAAGAATATATTAGTAAAAAGTCAACTATATTTGGTGTTTTGAATGAGTTGCAGGTGAACATGGACGTTTGGCAAACTCATCCTTCGTGTACCTGCTTTTAATGGTTCATTGATAAAAGTTAAGATTTACTTGCACACTGATTTCTTAACATGTATTGGAAGTTTTGCAAGTTTGAAATTGTTGTAGATGTAAGCGAGTAGTTAAAACAATCACTAAATTAAATATAGGTCATCGAGAAAATCGAAGCCGAAAATTGGTGATCTTGGCAAAGTTATGTTGTTAAAGAAGATATTATTCGTCATTAATGTATAATATTGAATAATTTTTAAGCTGTTATGAGTGAACATACATGTGAGGGGGAAATAAATTCATATAAAATCATTAGTTTATTATTCAAGTCCTGCTAGAAGTCACGAATACGATGTTAGAAGTACAACTATTTTAACTTTAAAATTTAGAAATCTTAGTTTTCTTACATCCTTTTTATACTTGCATTTTAATTTAACCGTCTTCAGTCAAACTTGTTCAAAATAGTTCATTTAAATATATTTTCACCTTGATAGATCTTGAGAAAAATCGTTTTAAAAGAAAAAAGAAATGTCTGCCCCTTTATCCGACTGTGTTACAAGTGAGAGGTTTAGCTAGCTATAAAAGAAAATGCCTGTATCAAGTCAACAATATGCCAGTTGTTATCCATTCGTTTAATGTATTTGTAATTTTGATTTTGCCATCTGATTAGCGACTTTCTGTTTTTAATTTTCTTCGGAGTCCGGTATTTTTGTGATTTTTCTTTTATGTCAATATCAACGTTATCGCGAAAATGCTGAAATTTGTTTGCTGATAATATTAACGTCTCCCGCCATTTTCCCCCTTAAGAGCATTGACGTGATTTTAGGTATCTGATAACTTTTAAGCTACCTTAAAAGAATATGACATACTCATCTGATCTTTTTGAGAAATTTGTTATTGTTTCGACAACATTCCATTTCTTTTATTTGTTATTTGATTTATCCTTGCAAAAAAAACCTATAATATTTGGAAACAAAAAATAAAAAGTGTTGCTTTATTTAAAAACAAATGAAGATAAGCAGGAGACATTATACAATGAAAAGTATAATAAAAAAAACAATACCATGGCCAACATTTGAACGACGAAAGAATAAAAATCATAATAAAAAAAAACACATGATATGTACTTAATTCTTAGCAATACGAACCCCACTCACATATGTTTTGTTTAAAAATTAACTAAAATATAACACATTTCCAATGTACATTCTAGGGTAACAGAGATCTTCACAGTTATCAAAGAAGCCTGTGACAATGAGATCACACCATTCTTTGCCTTAATAATCTGTGTCTGGGGTAAGTTTTATGATTTAGCATTTGTTCAAGGGCTGATTAATGTATTTCTATTTCTATTTATTTAAATCAACTGATTTATACATGCGATCAAGATTGAAAAAAAAACTATGGTGAAAAGTTTGTTAATGATTGTTTAAAAAATAATCTACTATTTGCATGTGTAGCACCAAACCTATAGACACCCCATCAAAACCTAAGTTGATACAAAAAAAAATACTTACTAACTGAATTGTAATTTTTAGATACCGTAATTATTCATGTGTGTATCATGTTTCAGGACGTTACAGTATTTTTTAAAAAGTAATTGGATAATGCATTCTAAAGTTATACGTGGATTTATTAGCAAGTTTTATTTCTCTTATAAATAAGCCATAGGGCGTATTAATACCGTAAATTATGCATTTTCTATTACGTATCTGCATTTGTGATCTCAGCATAAAACAACTAAGCAAAAACCTAAACAATATATATATGTTAAAACAAATAAGAAAACATTTTTTAGGAACAATATTTCTGAAACTATGGAAACGAAAATCTGCTACATTAGCCCATAAATGGTATGTAGACGAATTTGAAGTGACAGAACCAGACAGACCAAAGTTTTACGGAACACGATTTCGAAAAGTAAGATATACTTTAATCTACCATTATATCATACTTTGTATCAAAATAGCACATTTGTTTGACCACACAAAACAACAATCGCAGTAAAGTTAAACAGATTGATTTACAGTTTATCATTCCATCTTAAACTCTGTTGACGCGTGAGTGATTGAGAATTGCTTTACCTTGTATCATTTCCCATATTTTTTAAACGTAACATGTTTAATTGAGACTTGAAATAGGGAATGTATCAAAGAGACAATAACCCGATCAAAAAACATAAATCAGCCGAAGCATACCAATGGGTCTTCATCCCACAATAGTGGATTGATAATTGGATCTCATCTAACCTTAAGACATCACAAAATTTATAACCTATGGAAGCGTATTAGGACCATCCTTTTTTATTTTTTGTTTCAAGTTGTCGACTTTAATCTTGAAATTATCAACTTTCATCTTGGAAAAATCAACTATGATCTTAGATGTATCAACTTTTATCTTCGAATTATCAACTTTTATCTTCGAATTATCAACTTTTATCTTCGAATTATCAAATTTTATCTTCGAATTATCAAATTTGATATTGGAATTTGCAACTTTAATTTTAAATTACCAACATTAAACTTGGAAATTATCAAACATTAATCCTGGAATTGTCAACTTTAATCTTGGAATTGTCAACTTTAATCTTGGAATTTTTAACTTTAATCTTGGAATTGTCAACTTTAATCTCGGAATTTTTAATTTTAATTTTGGAATTTTCAACTTTAATCTGGAAATTATCAACATTAATTTTGAATTACTAACATTAAACTTGGGAACTCCAATTTTAATCTTCCGACACTGATTTTACCGACTTTCTTTGATGGAGTGAATCTCTGAATTGTACGGAAGCGTATTAGGGCTGTCCTATTTTAATTTATTTTTTCAAATTGTCGACTATAATCATGGAATTATCAACTTTAATCTTGGAATTTCATACTTTAATCTTTGAACTCCAACTTTATTTTTGGAATTTCCAACTTTAATCTTGGAATTATCAATTTAAAACTTTGAATTATCAACATTAACCTTGGAATTATCAACATAAGTCTTGGAATTATCAACTTTAATACTTCAGGACTGTAATGCATTGATGTTTTAATTCGTTCATTTTCAAGCGTTTATCTGTCTTATCTTTATTTATTGTAAACTTGTTTTCAGCATCCAGTGACAAGGAATGACGACTGGTATTTTTCAAAAAAAAATAAGCTACGACAGTACCTGTTATCTGGGGTGACAATAGTCTTCATGTTATGTGTTGTTTTGGCAAGTGTGACTGGCGTTATTGTTTACAGAGTGGCTGCTAGTGTTCACTTCTGTCCAAACATGTGTGCCCTAGCATGTTTTTTCGTAACATCGATTGTTTCAACTTTGCTTAATGCAATATCAATTTTGATACTGAGCAAGGTAATTTGAATACAAGAGAGAAGAGCATGAACATTTAAAAAAAATACAGTACACAACATCTATCAAATGGAAAATGGAAAGCAACCCGTCATTATAGACAATCACATCTATAAAGAGATATAGGAAGGTGTGGTATGAGTGCCAATGAGACAACTCTCCATCCAAGTTACAATTTATAAAAGTAAACCAGAGTCTATTTACTGATTCGACTAAAATTGCAAATACCCAAATAAGGAGTAGATTGACGAATACAGCCATATATGTTATTTGTATGTCTTGTTTTATCTTGCTCCTCATGTTTTTTATTTAAAGTTTTATCTATCTATTAGAATAAGTAATAATGAGACAAAGACATTTTTTTTCAAAAATGATCATTACAACATATAAAGGTGAAAAATTATGGTCGATGACGCACGACGACGTACGCCATGTGATGAGAAAAAACTTTGTTAGTCCTGTTAGCATAACATTTAATGTTAAAAACAAATTGGTTTTCATGTATCATTTCAATAATTTTAAAAAGTACATGGAAAAAGTGATAATAATGGTTTATTTCTAAATTTTGAAATGAATTCGCCATAAAATAAATATATCATTAATTTAGTCAATTGTTGAACTGACCAATCAATCATAAACTAAACATTAAATATATTTTCTTTTAAATTACATTATTATTTTGTTAAAATTTTATCATTGAGATTAAATTCGATACCAAGTGATCATTTTTCGCTAATAAGTATTCAGATGACACAGTGCCTAGGATAATACTTTAAAATGTCAACTGGTAGAATATCTGGTTAACTTTGAAAGAATTAAGTTATAGTTTGCATACATTTTATTATTATATTTAACCTAAGGGTAACGAAAACAGTTTATAAAACATGGCTGTGATATTAGTTTTCTTTGTCACACTTTAACTAGTATTTTTTTTCTTTTTTCTTGGTGTTCTTTTACACAATATAATTTGACCTCATTGATTCCATATTAATGTGACCTTCAATGAACCGCTTAGCTGGAGATAGGTTATGCATATGTTCAGTTATAAATGGGAAAAGAATGTCAGAATTGGAAGTGAAACAAAGATGAACTATTTGGTTGACTGATTCGATCAACAAAACAAATTTACTGAAATAGTCATAGAAAATTCCAAATAAACGTGGTCGCAATATGCGTATATTTATACGTATGTTTATATCGGATTATATGACCGTTAGATGTCTTCTGAGGTCATATCGATGTTTAATTTGATGCCAAAAATACACACGAAATGTTGATTCATATCATCAGTATCATGCATTTTCAATTGTTTATTATAGACTTTTGTAGTTGGATATACAAGTACGTTATCAATCAAAAATGAGAATTAAAGTCAAAACGGTGAAAATGAATTGGATACTTAATGCCTCTTTAAAGACATGACATAAAATGTCCAATTATATAAAAGAGGAATAAATATTTGAGACATTCTAAATAGGTAGTAAACTACTTAATTTGTATAGAGTTATATAGCCAATAAAAAGAGAGACAATGAACAATCTGAACAACGAAAGGTGATATAAAATGTGTAACTGAATGAAAACAAAGAACTCAATAAAGCTCAAGTGAAATTTGAAATCATCCGTGTTTCTTTATTTCTGAAACAAACATAAAAAAAATCAAAATATTCTATATCGTTTGGTAAAGGTTTTCAAATTGATCAAATTTTTATAGGTAAATTTTGTGACAGAAACACTGATATTTCTTATATTTGAATGCTGAGAAATTTGTGCTTGCATGCTCTATGAAGTCTAAATTGATTTCAATTACTCCTCTCGTTGAGTATCTTGGCATGTAGGGGATATCTCCTTAATAGTAGAGGAAACAGTAAAAAAAAACATTTTAAAAGGCAAACTTCACAACAAACGTTCATTAAACAAAACAGAACGCAAATCAGACACTGGGATTACGAAAGTATAATATGTCCATAACTTCAAAATGTATATTTTCGTTGTAGCTGTATGGTTGCATGGCTCGAAAACTAACAGACTGGGGTAGGTATTAATTTCAATATTCTTGGAAAACTATACTGAGTTCCTGTATAAAAACACACACAAATCTAGATATTTTCTGTTCCTTCTTTAGACAAATGTTATAATAAACCTCTTAATTCATTCCAAAAACATTTAGCTACACACTTTTGGAGCAGTCTAGCCTTGCAATAACTTTCATTAGTTTTATTCTTGTATTTTTGTGACAAAACTCACAGATTCTATCCACAATAGCTCAAGCTTAACCACATTCAAGTAGTTTAACTTAATGCTCTTTGAAAACATTTCAAAGTTGTTCATTTTGATTGAAATTCAATAACCAAATTTAAAAGTTTCTGATGATTTTGATGCTTCGGAAATTATTGAGCCACACATAGTTTACCAAGTATGAACTGATACATAATCAACACAGACTCATCGAACACTTCGTATTATAATTGAATTGATACATTGATTTTTATTTGTTTTTATATATATTCAAGCGTCCCGATTTGTCAGTAACGCTTTGTCAAATTATTTGTTAGATTATCTGGTTTATAAAAATGTATCTTTTGGAATCAGTTACTTTTATCATCATTCCACGTTTATTGAACTATCAATGAATTCTTTAAAACTTGCACTGTGCGTTTGTCGAACTTCTAGTGACACATGTCCCGGTCAGAATCACTTCATATGAAAGTCAGAAGTTCAGTTTTATTTAGCTTGGTCTTCGCAAGCAACCAATTTTGATTTTGACAGGTATTGCTTGATGTTTAAAGTTTGCATTGATGAAGGAATGAATAATATACCACAACTTGACTCTGTATCACTAAATGTTGGATAATTTAACGGAAGCCATCACGCGTGGGTTGATTTTTATTGAATATCTGTTTTACAGTTGACAATAAATATTTTCTACTTTTCGTGACCATAGTACCGTCATATTGTCCTCGAATGTCACCAACCGAATAAGTTATGTCACCAAGTTAAAACAATTAAATTGACAGCATAACCATTGATAAAAGTGGAACTGAATCCGATTACTCTTCCGGAGCACATGAGATCATCCCGGTTTGTGGACAGATTAGTGTTATTTAATAAAAATATCTCTTAAGTACCGTTCGTCTTAACTGAATATTTAGATTCTACCACTGTATTGAGTGTAATACGATATTTATCCATGCACTCGAGACAGTTGAATTTAAAAAAAAAAGAACATTTCACGTCGTAATCGAATTTTGACAAATGAAGAACTGAGATTAAACGAACCACACGTGGATTAAATAAAAATATTCAACTGGTCATGAAATTGGGTTTAACTTTAATTCATTTTTTATGAAATAATATCATTCGAAAATTTTGAAATGTTTTTTTTTTTTACCTTAGACGTCAATTTAACGGAAATTGCACCGTATTCATTTCCGACGGCCAAACGAAACATAAAGAATAGATAATAAGCTTTCGAATGATTTATTATATAGCCGTATGTTAAGTTGGTGTATTAAAGTCTTTATTTTATTAATGTAACTAACCTACAGTACTCATTCAATGGATATAGTATAAAGACGTCATTAATAGTCAACGAAAAATATAATCGTGTGTAACGTAAAACAATAAGCATTTACACAAAAAGAAATGTGATGTTCATTGCTGTATAGCAATAATGTTTAGGTATATTCTAATTCTTTTATACACACAATATTCAAAGATCTTATTACGGTGTTCAGTTGAGACTCTTTCCAAATAAGCTTATTTAAATATATCTCAGTTAAAAGGTTTTATCAACAACATCACTGCAAATCATGTTACAACTTCGAAAGTTGTGTAATAAAAGAAAATGCCAGCCGAAATAACAAATTCAACTGAGAAAAACAAATAATTATAAATTGCAAAATTGCTAAGGCTTAACAAAACAAAACAATGATACAAGATAACAGTTCGACTTCTACGTTAATTATAAGAGTAGCTCACAATAAAGCTATCAAACCAAGTTCCAAGTGGTCCGTTGTAATTCTGCAGATTATATGTTAAAATGTATTATTATATTATTTATTTATGCCGTTTTTCTGTGCTGCGTGTTCTTCCGTGTTTTTTTTTACTTAATTCCTGTCACGAATTGTTGTCATTAAAACGATATCTTTTTACATTACCATACAAACGTGAGGTTTGACTAGCCATAAAAACTAAGTTCAACCCCCCATTTTTTCTTAAAATGTCCTGTTATGAGTCAAGAATATGGCAGTTGTTATCAAATAGTTTGTATGTATGCTTGCATTTGTTTTGTGTGTAATAGACTTATTACCGGGTTTGTACTAGTATGAGCAACACGACAGGTGCCACATGTAGAACATAATCTGCTTACTCTTCCGAAGCACCTTATATTACCCCCAGTTTTTGGTGAGGTTCGTGTTGCTCAGTGTTCTATGCTATGTTTCCTGCACTATTGTTTTTTGTTTGCTTTTGAACTCGGGGATGAGTCAGTTTATTTTTGACTTATGAGTTTGAAATGTTACTTTGTTTTTTTTCGCCTCTATGAGGAGGAACAAAGATAGATCAACAATTTGTCCAGCTATAAGTACATGTCTACCTCTAGACTTTTTCCGTATACGCTACTGTAGTATTACAACTTTTGTGTGTCAGTCAGTACATCACAGGACATATTTAGTCGTTATTAAAATGTTACCAACGTAAAGTGCATGTATTATTTCCACTGAATGATAAGTATACATTTACATTAATCATTCAACCAAATGCTTTAAATATGTATTTTCCATACTTGTAGAGAATCACAGAACACAGACATCGTATGATGACGCCTTGATTGTAAAGCTGTTTGCCTTTGAGTTTGCTAACAACTACGCTTCATGCTTTTATATAGCCTTCGTAAAAGGGGTTGGTAGATATTTAAGTATACATTGTATCCTCATTATATGCAATGCATAGTCTTAGGTTCTTTTTTTATTTCTTACAAACCATTTTGATTGTGAAGAAAGATATTACACGTTCTTTACAGTTTACTACTCATGCTTAATGGTGAAGTTGAGAGAAATTATTTTTAGAGAATTCGTTTTTTCGTATGAGTATGTTTTTTTAGTGCTCTAATGAGAAACGACAAGAAGTTCGAAAAACAAATGCTTTATGGTGACTGGTATTATATCTTTTGAATTATATACATTGTTATACTTGAAGTTAAGTTTTATTGTATAACATTCGTATTCAGCTAATTAAGTTAAATTATATTTGAACGGATCATGATCCCACTGTTATTTATTTGCAGAGATTGGGAGAGGATGGTATCGTTGGCCTAGGTAAAACATATACAGACAACTGTGAACCTAATGGAAACTGTATGTCGGAACTGTCCTTCCAGATTTTTATTTTGATCTCTTTGAAACCATTGCCAAAATTCTTCCAAAATGTTGTTTGGCTGTAAGTATTCATACTCATAAAATATTTTACAGTCTGTCGCCATTTAGGATTCTGGCGATAAGCTATAACAATTAGTGTGCATGTTGTCAAACATTTTAAGATACGAAGCTTGCTAGTTACCAAATACGATATATATGGGGGTCTGTGAATTCCATATTGGTGATAAGGGCGACTACTACAATGTGCAACAAATCTATCTTACAGACTATCTGAACATGTGATATTAAGACTAGTGGTCTATCAAAGTAAAAAAAAATTCAACACCAAGAACCTGCATCCATTTGTCTATAAAAAAATGCAAAAATACAACTTATATCTTTTTAATATGTTTTAATAAATTTAGGTTCATTTCTTGGTTTGTTGAAACCATTCAGATTTTTCTTCAACAACATGTTTTATTTTAAAGGTAATTAACACCACAGTGACCGCTACTAGCTGTGTGTTGAAATAAGCCTTTCCTACTTACCCCATATGAAATATACACGGTATCCATGCGGTTGCTTTTAACCATTTATTTTCCTGAAAATGAACAGGCGATCAGATTTAATATCAACGAATTCAGATATGAGATATATCATGTGTATGTCAATAAGACAGCAAGCTCACAAAAAAATCAAATAGAAAACGGCAAAGGTTTTCAATCATAACATGGTCTTTCAACACTGAACCAAAATCCTATATTCTAGAATGATATAAATAGATGCCATCACAGATCTGTCATCAGTTTCGCATTCATATATCGAAGAAATCATTTAGTTATCAAAAGCCCCGATCATTAACAATATTCCTCAGATTGCACATGTACATTTAAAAGTTAGAAATGTTCAATTGCACAGACCTTAGTGAAATATATATACATAAAAGGGTTTTGAAACAGCAGTGTAAAAAATGTAAAATTAGTACATTAGTAAGTAACACGCTTCAGTTAAGGTGGTTCACGGTTCCAGGGTTCATGGACATATTTATTAGAATAAAGTCTGTGATTAGGTAGGCTTCAGAAGAACCAAATTTGGTAAGTAAGTAATATTGAAAATATTTTGCGCATTTGCACATTTCGTTTCCATGATGATTATTTTACCTTACCACCTCATTCATGGTCTATCGACTGGCAAATGTGTGCAACAATTAATGTTTGTTTTATAAGGAAGGACACACATATGAATTTAAGATTTATAATTATGATAAATGACATTTGTAACTATCACATCATTTCCATTTATTTGAATATTGCTCAATCTATGATTTTAGTTGTCAAATGTTAAAAAAAAATCATGAAGGTGTGGGGTCTAAATTAAAAGTTTTTTTTTCAGTTATTTGTCGAAATGAAGACCCATTGGTGGCCTTCGGCTGTTGCCTGCTCTTTGGTCGGGTTGTTGTCCCTTTGACACATTCCCCATTTCCATTCTCAATTTTACAATATTTTTTTTTTAAATATAATAAAAAGAATTGGTATTGCAAAATTTTCAGATTTTGTAAAGATTGTGCATGGAAGAATCAATTTTGTGTGCTAAAAAGAAAACGTCAACATAGAACTTTAAGGGAAAATACGGAAAGATATCTCTCATAATATGCTTTCAGATAAGAAAATGGACAAAATGGATTCATCTAACTCATTTTCTTGCTATAGAAAAGAAAAGAAATACATTCTATTGAAACGGTTACTTAATTTAAGATATCTCTCCTTATGTATGAGTTTTCTCCCCTTGTGTTGGAGTTATCTCCTCTTATGTTGCAAAGTTGAAAAAAACATCAAAATATTCAGTTTTTGTAAAATGCAGCCGTAAAGAAAATAAAACACATAATTTTCTACGCTTAAAATTACAATAGCGTTAATTATGTCTAAATAAAGACTCAGGTCAATGACTGAATAAAAAAAAATATACAAATAAAATCCGAAAATTTGTTTGTCCTGTAAAACGGCGAAATCTGAACTTTGTGACATTACCGGTTGTTTCTTATGAATGGAGATCTACTTGCTTGAACAAAACCATGCCACATGCAGAGCAGGAATTGATACACTTTTTAATCACATAAAATACCCCCGGCATAAAATTGGGTCTTTGTTGCTTAGTCTTTTTGTGTGTAGTGTTCAGTTGTTTTGCTGGTCTTTTTGTGAATTTTGTTATGACGTCAGTTTTTCTTGTGTTTTATATATCGCATCGCTTCATATTTCAAAGAAATCTGTCTTTGGTATTTGTTTAGCGACAATTTCATCCGTCTATGCTTTCCAACAGTGACAATATCACAACATATCAATTGTTAAATTGTTTACAATTGTTTTATTAATCAATACGAGAGTTTCTGTTTTATTTTAAACCCTAGGTGGATTAAGCGTTTATGGAGAAAGCGTCTCCAGTGGTGTTGTAAAATAAAAGTGGAAGGAGTTTCAGAACAACTTATATTTGTTGAGAAAGAATTTCGTAAACCTTCACTTGGTGATTTCACAATGGAAGAATACACAGAGAAAATCATACAATATGGATTCCTTATGGTATGTTGAAACAATGTTTACAATATTTATGTAATAATGTTCTGTGGATGTTTTGTAAACATATTACACCACATTTGTTCTAACAACATTGAACCTTTTTGGGGAACGGAATCAAGCTACGACTTTCACAGCACTAACCTTTCTGTATGTAAACTCTCTTTACAGTAATTTCTTAATAATTATTATGATTGACTGTTTTATTATTTGAAGTTTAACGAAAATGTCAGCACGCTTAGCTATTTTATTATCTTTTATTTATTTAAGGGATAAAGTCAAAGTACCTATATTAAAAACATTTACTTTCGGAAGGAAAATTTGCAATCCTTGTTAACTAATATTGTAGGTAAATGCAATTTGTCGTTTGGGATCCGAGCTGACAATCAAATTATCGATCCCCGAAGATGAACGTCTTCGTACACTCAGCCTTGAAATACTCATGACCTTTATGAATCTTGCTACATTGGATATTGCTGTTGTTAACATATGTTTAAAAAAGATAGAACACATAGTGATATATTGTACACTACAGCAATACATGTTTCCTTAGTCTAAGTTCAAATTGTAAAATTCTGATGCAATACAATCAAGTAGGTGCCTGTGACCACCCATATCTGTTGTTACGTATACTCAGTGGTTTTAGGCTTAAACGTGTGTTTTTACGTATATAACGTATGGACCTCATTAAAAATTCATAAGTGATTTAATATATTAAAAAGTGTTGTTACGAAACGCTGACTCCTCTTTATTTACATTTAACACCGCTTGAATATAATATAATTTGGTTCCGTTAATTGTTAAATGACTCCTTCAATTGTATGTTTTCTTTTGTTATTTAATCATTATAAAATCGTGCAACGGAGTTAACGGAGATATATATTTATATAAAACCAAGAACATTCATATTACTGTTTATATGTTAACAGATATTTAATGATGTAAAATAATACAAATGGATTATTAAAAGACAGATTTTCAGATGGGTTTGTGTTTTAATTCTAATGGTGGTGTAACGAATCACTTCACAACAAGTGTAATTTCCACAATAGTACCTCTATAAGATGATAATATTTGATGATGCTCTTATGCAACTGTGTTGACAAACATTTTGGCAGAACTAATTTCCTTCGTCAGTGTCAATATATTTTTTCTTAATTTGTTTATATTTATGAGTTAACTAAGAAATACATAAGAATTTCTGACTACTATGATTTCAATCCAAAATTGTTAACCCATTAAATTATAACTGAACTTTTTGCTCTATAAACGTGAATGCATATTTATTCCTCCAAAATTGTCAAAATTTAAAAATTTGTATAAAAGAAAGGCGAAAGAACCAAGAAAAGCCGGGGGGTTCAAATATTATTTGAAAGGGTGAGTATACCCTGTTTCACATGTGGCACCCTTCATGTTTCTTATATAAGTACAAACCCTGTCTAATTCGGTAGGTCACATTCGGAATAAATTACGGCGGAATTGTTCTTACGACGTTTGATATATATATCAGTCGTCATCTGTAGTTAATTAATTGCAAAAGAGAATGAATTTAAAAACATTCCAAATTGAAAAGCAATCATCGATTTAAATTGATATAATACTTAAATCTCAATTTAAACGTATTTTAAGTTATAACAAAAGAAGCTGCGTGTTTAAACATTCCCAAAAAAATAGCACTATTCGATTTGAACTAGTATGAATTTTAAAATTGCAAATATTTTTTATGAAGGTTTAGCAATAACATCGTGGCTGTGTATTAATATATCATAAATGAATAGCACTGTGCAGTTTGGACTAGGATAATTCTATAATTTCTTAGTTAAAGAAGGTTAAATAATAACAACAGAGACAGTGTAGTATTTACTATAAGTATAACTATAGCAATATTTTGTATGCTAGTACTTAGTTTTCTCTATACAAATTATGTTTCCTAATATTTTCCTAAACTAGTTCACTCCTTAATTTTTTTTTCTTAGGGTCGTTCAATTTGCTTGCTGCTTACTAGTATGTAAACTCTGATTTCTAATGCACATTTTCAGATACCTTTTATCTTCTTACAGTTGTTTGCAACCTCACTGCCGTTAGCACCACTGATTGTCCTTATCACAAATCTTATTGACATAAGAGTGGATGCCAAGAGGATGCTTTGGTGGTACAAAAGACCATTAGCCAAGATAGCACAAGACATTGGTAATATCTATACTTAAGAGCCAATCCGCCAAAAATCCATGCAATATTCAGAAAATCTTCCGAATCAAAAATCACAACTTGACAAATTCTTATACATCATCTTAATCCTTGGCATAAAATAAAAGAATTTAGCACTTAATTTTCCCAGAATCGAATCTACTTTTAGTAACAGCCTCATTTGCATAATTCTGTAAATTCATAATGAAACCAAGGAAAAATCCAACCTTTTTATGCCTTTTAAGAATGACCAAGAAGCATATTAAATGGGGTAGTAGAGTTTTTAGCGTAATGTCAGCTGGAACCCATCCATTTTACTATGTTATTATTAATACATATGATAATTTAAACGATTTGGCACATTGCCAGGAGCACGGACACAAAGGCGGGGATTTTCATACATGAATTTACGTGGATTTCATTTGCCTCCAACTTGCAAGACTTATTCCGGATATGTTTGGTACTTATATCGGGTTTTACTATGGGGTATGTTTTAAAATATTAAGGTTGGCAAATGACTATTATATGTTAATTTATGCCTTGGAAGAATGGTGATTTTAGTCCCAAATTGACACATTTTGATTTTGATTTTAATTAAATTCTTAACACAATTGGAAATAAAATGGCTCATAAAATCATTTGAAAAAGTAAAATCAATTTAACTAAAAAATGAAATAAGACGTTTATGTACTGCAAGTGCAAAAATCAATAAATTGTCTGAAACTAGTCCATCTTTTATGCTTTTCTCTTGACTTATCTCCCTTTGGTAAAATTTCCACTCCAACATGTCAGCTTCGAGTGATGGTTTGACAGACGACATATAATCGACAAATAATATTTCATTCGGTAATTGTTGTTCCCAAGCTATTTAACATTCAATTTGGTTGCCAAAGTTTAAACCAAGATCATGTGGAGCACAATTTTTATAAGTGAATAGATAAGAGCCACGATCATTTTTTTATTATTTTATTTTCCATGGGTTCCCAGTTATGAATTAAAGTTTTCCCTCACAGTTGTTGAATGATTTGTTGTATTAAATTGTTCTTTTAAAGAACATGTAATTATTTTTTTACCTTCCAGTGCACATTTGTTTACATCATGGTTTTCCCCTTGCACTTTTACTGTGTGGTGGCCAAAGTTCTAACAAGAGGTCATAGTTAAGGCCAATGCGTATAGGAAGACAATGTTTCAATAGCAGTTCATTTATGAAGATTTTGATTATATTATATTATAAAGGATGTTCTTTTACTAGTAAGTAAACATACACTTGATGTTATTGTATAGTAAAACTTATACATTGAAGCATAAAAAAACATATTCCATTTTTTTTAGATTTAAAGTTTCAGATGACTTAATACAATTCTGTTATTTCTGAGTGTGTTATGTAGGCCCTTATAGGTACAGAAATCATAACAATTTCAACTTTTCATTCAAAATTCTTAATAAATTTTGCACAAGTATTGTAGACTTAAAAATTTGTAAATGTCTGATTTTAGCAGAATAGTTTGTATGTCATGAAATAAAAAGGCATTGAGTTGGGATATTATACTTATTCTAGCCATGGCTGCTTTTGAAATAAAGCATACGGATGATTTTCAGTGAAAAGAAAATATAGGACAAGAATCATAACAAGGTGTTAAGCATATATTATGTGACGGAAATATGCAGTGTCCGTGTAAATATGAATATTGTATGAAATATGTGTATCGTTACAACACTTGCAACGTATAAAGTGTTTTACTTGTCTTTCTTGTCTTGTTATGGTTTTTTTTAACATGCATTTTCATGTCATGTTTGTATTGACATCATTGCAGGAAACATAGATCCTGAACTAGTATATATATTTGTTTAGGGGCCAGCTGAAGGACGCCTCCGGGTGCGGGAATTTCTCGCTGCATTGAAGACCTGTTGGTGGCCTTCTGCTGTTGTCTGTTCTGTGGTCGGGTTGTTGTCTCTTTGACACATTCCCCATTTCCATTCTCAATTTTATATCAGTATTTGGCCAAACTTTCCTTGTTAGCGTACCGGGCTCAAAGGGCTGTGAAATCTTTTCACATCACTAAGTGTCTGTCAAAATCTTCTCTGTATTTAAATGTCACTGTTTACAGTTTTTTTTACCATTATCTTAATAACTATAGAAAAAAGGTCCTACATGTATATTTAAATAAAAACTATTAACATAACATGGTCTAAACACCCCAAAATTTTCCGAAAAATTGGTACTTATATCTTCCAGTTATTGTCCCTGAAATGTTTGAATCTACAAATTTTCACCGTTTGCGTCTTCTTTCGGACAACTATATCAATATATAATAGAATAAATTGCATTAATGGTTAGTAGGAACTGTTCTTTTACAGTCTGAACTTATTCTGAATTGTTTAAATTCTTCTTTGAAAGTTGTTACTTTGGAGATGTGTGTTTGCATCCGTTTTTAGTGCATAATTTGTCAATGAGAGTTATAGCGGCTCCTTTGAGCCTCTTGATTTATGATGAATTATTTGTATTTTTGTAAGATTGTTTTCTGAAAGCATTAAATTAGACCTGAATTATTCTTTTCCATTTGTTGTTATCACTAGTAGCAAGATTTTAGTCTGAAACGGTCATTTTGGTCTGATCAAGTCTTAATCGACTAGATTTACCACTAGAGAAAAACGTCAAGACTTTTTCAGACTTTCAGACGCCGTTCCGATCGATCGACCAATCAGGTAATTCAGTCCGTTTATGCATTTCAAGATAAACAAGACTGAATGTTCTAGCGAGCAAACAAGATCTGTTAAGACAGTTTCAGACGAAATCAGACCAAACCTAAAAAAATGCTTTCAAATTTGTCAGACCGTGTTAAGATCCGTTCAGTATGCTAGTATGATAATCCGAGTTACGCCCCTTCTGCTTTATGATACATTTTAAATTGAAAAATATATGCTAGAATTAAAAGCATAACTTTTGAATAAATAAATAAAGAAAATCATCTGTTGATTATTTATTTCTGTTGTTGTTTTGTTGAGGAATTAAAAAATTATTCGTCTATAAATGTCGTTGGTTTTATTTTTCTAATTAATGTTAGTTTATTTATGTATTTATTAATTGTATACCGGCGAATAAAAGTTTACCATTATTTGCTGAAACCTGTATTTTAAGATATAGAATTTATACATGTATAATTACTAAGGGTTATAAAAGATACCCTCATAAGTTACCGTATTAAAACATATTTGAAATAGACGGAAATTGCGTGTATTGGGGAAATGGGTTTTTTATGCAATCGTTACATCGTTACTTACAAAACATGTAAGTTATACACTTAACCCTAACATGTTGTTAACCCAGCAGGTAAAAAATGTAGTCGTTATCCCAAATAAAATGTGTACGGTAATTTATTTTCGTCTTTGAAAAAAATTACTGGAAATTTTAAATTTAACAATATAAATTTAAGGAGATGTGATATGAATGACTTTGAGAGAACTATCCGCCATATTTCAAGTCAAGTGGACGTTAGCAATTTAATAAACACATATTAAGTATGTTTTATGTCAGGTGCTACAATTCGTTATTTGTCGGTACTTTCCTCGTAAACAAGATATTTACTTTAGAGCATTTTGTAAACTTGTTACTTTCGTGCGGGTTACTTTGTAAAACTTGAACAAGTTTCTATTTTCTTAGCTTGTATTGTACAATATATTTCTAAACAATGATTTACATCACACAGTTGTGCATCTAAACGCTACCAAGGCCGCCTAAGTGCATTAAGCTTCTAAAACTGCACTTAGCCCGTGATGAGACAGTATTAAAATTATAAATAAAATACCATCGAACATGTCGAATAGAGCTTTGCATTAAAACAATATATTCTAATATATTTTTCAGTACCCATAGTAATTTAAGTGTAATTAATGATTTATATAGTAAGATAAAACGATAACATACGAGATTCCAATCCTTCTTACTATATAAATCCTTGGCGTAATTAAGTATGTTCTGTTTTTAAAGATTGAGATCAATGGCAGGTGCTAGTAATCATCCGAGTCAACAGGTAATAAGTCCAATGAACTATAACGCATGAAAGACAATTAGCAATTACATGACTATTTTACAATTACATCTATCATAGTATCATAGCTCAGTATGTGTAGTTTAAGGTTCGAAAAATATTATAATGGCTTCTTTCTGAACATTAAAATGACACAGTTAACCCTAAACATGAAGATATTGCAAAACCGCAATTTTGAGTAGTCATTAAACAGATTGGAAAATAGCTGTAATAAGTAAAAACACAAAATTCTGGAGGAAGCAATATATTTTTACATCTCGTCTTTCGGAAATACATTACTTCTTTTTGTTTATAGTTATGTCCTTCGATACAAAATTTTACAAACACGTGACTGTTCAGTCCGGAAGTTTTTTTTATATGCCTTCAACAGCAATTTGTTGAAATAAATAGAGATTTTATCTATTTATTTATTTATTTATTCATTTATTTATTTATTTATTTATTTATTTATTTATCTATTTATTTATTCATTCATTTATCATCTTCGCTAGGCAAGAGTAACGATCCAGTCCCCCCTCTTCACGGGCTAGCGAAGATGGGGCACTGACTCAACTCCGTTAGGTTAACGCACGTGTATCGCGAATACAACCTAGTCACAGCAGGGTACCAATGTGATATATGTGTGAATTTATTGTATGTCAGCTACACATGTGAAAAGCTGAGCGTATAAACAAAACTCTGTTAAGTCAAGGATTTGTATAGTAATATCTTACTATACAAATCCTTGGTAAAGTAACAGTATTGCCGTGAAAAAATTGAGATAGAAGAATTTTTAAAGTCATTAAGCACTAAGTAAATTTGTCTATAAACGACATGAAATTTTAAGACTATGTAAATCAATACAGGTTCTGTAAGGTTAGACCTATGTCAAATTTATGTAATGCAAATCGTTCAAATAATGACAATAGGTGAATGTAGACGCGTCAATTCAACCGTGTCCGAACCACTTGCAAAGTATAACTGAAATAAACAAAATTTTGATTTTTGTTTTATGATGTGCGGCAGAGATGTGCGGTTAAATTCCGTAATTAAACAAACAACATTGATACGAACAAATATCGGTATCTGTGTAGAATGTATTATAAAAATTCACAATTTTAATGTATTTTTAAGTATTTTTTAAGTAACAAATACAAATCCATGTTATATTGAAGATAAGCTTTTCGTGTCGAAAAAAAAGACATATAATAAAGAAAAATGCATGCAATTATTTTGGCTAGTAGTCCATATATAAAATCGCATTAAACATAAAGGTCTCAAAAAGAAGAATTTTAAATCAAATCTAGTCCTTAATTCATCTTTTCATCCTTTGCAAATGATTCGGACACTTTAAAACAGCGTAATAGTACAAATGTAACATGTCATGTAACGTGTGATTCACGGAATTTTCATATTTTCAAGATTTAACAGACCTCTGAAAGAAGTTAGATCATACAATTTTCATCAACCATGTGCAAAAAAAAAGCCCACTGAATTATATTTGCAAATTGGAAAAGATTAAGAATTGTTTTATATCCGTACTAAAAATCTTCCGCAATTATTTGAAACAAAAAAAAAAAAAAATATGTTTCTCCCTGCCTGAATGCAATCGAAAACAAATTTTCATTTTTATTCTTTATCTATAATTTGCAAAAGAGAAAAAATGATCAAATTATTAAAAGAAAGACTAACGATAATATTACCATCCAGGTAAATGAGTTTTCCATAAAGTAACTAATCCTTAATTCACAACCGTCAATGTACTTGCAAAACTTTGGATTCATTTTTGATATTTACCTGATAGATAGATAAAAACAAAAATATCTATTAGGAATTTCGATGGCAAAAATGAAATAATAAATGCGTTTTTTTTTGTAGACGAGAAGCAAATTGAAGAAGGAAATTTTGTTGAAAGAAAATTAAAATATATTCACATCTTTCTGAGTAAAGTGTCAAAAATACAACAGTATAATCATGATAATTGTATTAATAGTAATTTATGACTATTTTATAGATTAAAGGATTATAAGTCGAACACGACACTCGCACAATGTACATAATTTAAAACTGGTTTATTATTTTTCTACAGATTGCATTCCGAAGTGCACATGCTTGGCTAAGATAGTTGAATGTTCAGCGAACAATATTACATGATTTGTGAATGATATCAATCGAAAGCAACAGAGTAAGATTTAAGTTTTGAAATCAGAGCATTCCTTAAATTAAACATTTGAAACAGGTTTTTTTAAGCACCAGAATGCATATTTTGATTATATATTAAATATAAAATTGAAAATGACTGGTGTACTTATTATTCTATCTAACAATTAGCATTGGTAGTCTCGGCAGCTTTCTCTCCCTGAGTGCGGGAGATCCTTTTTAACGGACAGTGGACAAAAAGTCACAGGACAGAAAGTTACAAATTTGATATGACAAAAAGTCACAAATAATTTGTTGACAATTGAGTGAATATATTAGAGACAAATCTTGAAATAATTACTTTTTATAACATATTTTCTTTTTACAGTTTGGGAAATTGTTCATTAGCCTTGATAAATGAAGATTTTTTAAATTTTAATCATTAGAAGGATATATTTTTTGAAGCACCATGAAGCTGTTAAGGCACCAAGCCACTTTGACATTTTGTTTTTAAAATGAGAAGTAACACGGGTGCTATATAAAACAAATCTGCTACGAAACAGAAATATATACCGTAAACTAGATTTATAATTATGTACATTTTCTTTTTACCAATCGTTTCATAACTTATTCTATTTTATATTTTTCTATAATATAGTTTATTCTTTTTTTTAGTTCTTGCTAAAAAAAACTTGATGCTTAAAAAAGGTCAGAGAGGTATCAAAATCGGGTTTTATAGGTACCTTTACTAAATATAAACTGTAACCTAGATTTTTGAAATATGCTTGCATTCTTGTTGCATTTATTTTGAAATAATGTTTTATAATTTGTAAATGTTATATTTTTATCCGGTGTATCCTTATATATGATAAAACATGGCAACATATTTCACTTAACTTCCATGGATAAAACAGTCACAGCGTTGCACGGGTATTTATAATTATTAAGATAGTGTTTGACAGTCCGTTTCGGTTGAATGCTCAGATAATCCGTATATTGAAATGTAAATAACTTTCACCAAACATCTGTCATCTGTCAAAAATTAGAAAAATATAAAGTAAAGAAGATACTCAGAATATATTTTCCTTGACTAATTTTATATGGGTAAGAACAATTATTTTAAATCACAGACGAAAATGTGTTTAAGAACATTTTTGATATTTATTACTAATCATTATATCTTTACTGACGGAACGAATAAATTATAAATTACTTAATGCCAGAAAGCACGACTGCAAAGTTTTTATGACTTACACACTTTTCCGGTTTCACCAATTATTCTTTTCTTATATAACAAATTAAATGTTTAAGTGAAATAACATCGTAAAAAATGAATTGCAACTTTGCAAACGTTATTTAATTAATAGACATACAACATAACATTAAAAGACCACACAAGAATACCCTCCATTCTTTTCCGATTTTATTCACGAAGGGGAAAAACACCTAATAAACACAGAGAAAGTGTCGCCCGTTTTGCATCCGAATATTTAAAATCTTAACACGACTGAACACGATCTTACAAAGTCTAAACAGCATTTTTACCTTTGGTCTGATTTGATCTGAACATGGTCTGATCAAGTCTTAATCGCATGCAAGAACAATCTGTCTTGTTTATCTTGACATGACTGAACGGACTTAACACGGTATATCGTGAAAGCGTCTGAAAGTCTGAAAAAGTCTTGACGTTTTTCTCTATCATTAAATCCAGTCGATTAAGACTTGATCAGACCAAAATGACCGTTTCAGACTTAAATATTGCTACTAGTGTATAGTTATTTATGAGTCCAGCTCCTATATTATGTCAGTAGTTACAAATTAGACGGCAACATAGAGAAAATTTGAATATGCAGGTTACCTCATTTTGTTGTGGCATAACCAGACACCAACATTATTTGCCGAGCTTGATGTTTTTTTTTATTGGGTATATAAGGTTATACTTTGAAAGTAGATATGTTGTTTTACAATGATAAATAGGTCTTGGAGTATTTTGGCTCTGCAAGATGACCAAAATCACCCATTGTGGAAATTTAGCTAGAAAAGACATATTGAAACAGTTAGATTATACATACACTTAATAGACAGCATTGTTAATTTTATGCATTCTTACACTTAAAGTGATGTATTATAGGAACAACTATAAAAAATTACTGTTGCCATATTTTTTTTATTTAAACCAGCGAAATATTTCAAAAAAGGCTTAGTTTTGCTGTTTTCGAGCAATTTCAATATTCCCAAAAAAATTGTGTGGTTATTTACATTACTAAGGTGCACCAATGTGCCAAATATGAACTCATTTGGCAAAAGTGACATTCGGACGGTTTTGTATGGTTTTCTGGCAGATTGGCTCTTAAGTATATATTAACCCTATCTATTAACACCATTATTTCTCAGATGATATCTGATTAAAATACCAACATCATTTCACTAACCAAAATCAACTTATTTGATGCATCTTGATGAATAGAGTGCTCACATTACTGCCCTCATTCCTAGTACAGGGCGGTCATAATGTCATAAGAGTGTAATTTGAATCAAATTTAAGCTCAACCTTAAACTTGTCATATACACACGAGGGTCTACAAGGAGGTACTCATTTCGGTATTAACTTTTATGCAATATTTTAGTTTGCCCATCATTCTCTATTCGATATATGCTTATTTTGTCCAAATGTTTTTCTTTATTCAATATTTTTGGCTCATTTGTCTCTATCTGTAAACCTCATACAGTCTCTGATACGCTTATAAACTTAAAAGCATATCAATATAAAAGTCAAAGATGTGGTATAATTGAAAGTTAGACAACTCTCCACGAGAGACAAAATGACACATAAATTAGCTATTATCTGTCACCGTACGGCCTTCAAATATGAGCTAAACCAGTACCATTACTTTATGAGAAGGGGTTTAACATATTTGCGGAAACCATACACCTTCATACCTGGGGCAGTGGTGTAACAATAGCATATAAGAACAAACTGTAAAATCTACCATGCACCCGTAGACAAAAATTCCATTGTGACTGAAAGCTGATAAAAAGGCTGCAAACGAATATATTTTCTGTTTGTAGGAATATGGTTTACAATTCTACAGTTTGTTAATATTTGTGGGGTGATATCTAATGGTTTCCTAATTGGTTTTACCTCCTCAGTGGTAAAACATTATGATGTTTATACAAGACTGTGGATTGTTGTAGCATTTGAGGTTAGTTTTGTCTTTTGTTGAACGCACTGTTACGGTTATGTTCAGCATTTGAATGGTAGTCTACTTAGTATCAAAAACAATATACATGTATGTGTGTTTCAAATTATCCTGCTACTGTTCGGTTTCATTTGATTCTTATAAAATTATAAATTATCATTAATCATCAGTGTTAATCTTTAAAACTATATTTCGTTTCAACAAGTGATACATATTTAAATAGAACTTGACTACCTTAAACATTGCTTGTACCGTTATAATGAAAAGTATGAGAGGTTCTCTTCTTGGAATAGTATACTGTTAGTATGTGGGTTGATTGATTTTGTTTGTAGCTAAACGTTCAGGGGCAAATATTTCATTCATGTTCACAACGAGAATAATCTATCGGACGTCCCAGAAATCCAGTAAGGATAGGTCTGTCTAAATTCACGAGATGGTACATAATTATACAACACCTTAAATATTCTTACACTGCACAATTTTCGTTTGAACATTGATTCGTAAATCCAAGGCAAACAAGTAGATTTAAGTAAAAATGCATATAAATACATAGAATTATATTTAGGAAGAGACTGTTAAAAATGGAGAACAAAGCAACGTAAACCATGATGGTTATATCCCATCATATAAAATTAGTTTTCAGATGCGTTGGATAATCTTTATATTCGCCTTCTAATTAAATAAACAACATTTCCTTTCTTTTATGATAGCTGCATATATATACATTTGTCGATCAGAAGTGAGTAATTTTATAGGCTAGCCATTATTTAATGTTTATAAGAAAATGAAATGAAAAAGATTGTTTTAAAGTGTATAATATCTATCCATAGTCTAACGAGTATAGTAATTTTGGGAAAAAAGAACAATTTGGTCAAAGTGTTTTTAATTGTTTTGGTTTTAAACACATATACATATATAATTTTAAGATAAAAGTCATTTAACAAACGAAGTAAATGTACAAATGAACACGAAGTTTATTTCATAATACGAATACGAAAGTTTGATTTTGATTCGGTTCACATATAACAATTTAAACGTAAGCTATTGAGAATATAACATAAGAAAAATTAATTGATACAATCAGTTAAGGCTACTCTTCTGAAATCTGTAGTAAACGCCCGTTTACTGTTAAGTGCACGTAAAATAAACTTGTGAAATCTGAAGTAAACGTCCATTTACTACAGACTAAACGGGCACAGAGTAAACGCGCGTTTACTCGGGTAGACATTAGAAATATCTATTTTGGCCGCGTTAACGTAATTATAGTAAACGCGCGGTAAATGCGAAAATTGAAACGAACAAACGAAATATGTGCATGCGGCTTTAACGTGCGTTAACTTTATGTAATGCTTGGTCTGCAACCATCTGTATATGCCTTTTTTGTGCTTCTTTGTTACATATTTGTTTGTTTTTATAGTGATTAAGATAATAAATCAATTTTGACTGCTGTACCCCTATTTTTGGCATTTTTACTTTTTATTTCTGTTTCTTTTGTTTCCAATTGTTGTCAATGTAATGGAATTCAACGCAACTGTCGTACAGTAGAGATGTTTAGCTAGCTATAAAATCAGTTTTAATCCACTATTTTCTACACAAGAAAATGCCTGTACCAAGTCAGGAATATGACAGTTCTTATCTATTCGTTTTTGTGTGTTTGAGCTTTTGATTTTGCCATTTGATTATGGACTTTCCGTATTGAGTTTTCCTCAGAGTTCATTACTTTTATGATTTTACTTTTTCCTTTATTCTGATTAGGCTGAATTCATGCAGGAGCTGAACAGAAACAAGCATATATATATTGAACGTATATTGCAAAGCAAAACAACATAAACAAATGTTTTTAAAAGTCTTTCCAAATTGATATATCCAACAAGATCAAATATCATAATCAGAGGTATTTTTTGTCTTGAGGTACATGTATTGATTGAATTTAAAATGTTGCTTCTTGTATGGTTTCTTTTCTTATGTTTTGCATTTCCTGTTACGTAAAAGTAGGAATAATTTATGAGGACATTACTTAAAATAGCTAGAAACTCAGTTTTCCGTTTTCCTTTGAGTTTGGAATTTTTGTTATTTGATTTTTTGTCCATTACACTTTGACATAATTTTTAACAGAATTTGTAACACTCGAAAACAATACACATTGACAACTGATTTAGTAAGGTTAATGCAATGATAAACATATAAACATTAATATTGTTAACACTTTTTCTTTCTTTCTAGCATACAGTTGTTGCTATAAAATTAGCAATTGACTACTTTATACCAGATGTTCCTGCTGATGTGCGATCAGCATCAAAAAAGGTATGTTTATTCCATTTTTTTTATGCATTTTAACATGTTTAATGAAATTCACTCACAAAATTAGAATCTTCCAAAATTGTTTACATTGATTCATATATGTTTGACCCAACCAATTAAGTTGTACCTTCGGTCTATTTGTAAAACTTTGAATGAAAGGTGTTTTTAAACCAAAGATGCATGTTATTTTCACTGACTTAATTATAATATGCAGAGTGCCATTTTGGTGGTACTTGTTTTGTGATAATTCTATTGATATTTGCCTATTACTAAGTTGTCATTTCCCATTGGAGGATACAAAGAGTGAACTTCTAAAGCACAGTAAATATTCAATATCAAGTAAAACTAAAAAGACTTTTGCATGTTTTGTAGATTAACCATTATTTTTGTAAAACCAATTTGGTCATGTTAGATTGATTGAGGGATTATAGTATTTTCATGGATATGAGTTTTCTTGGTTTTGCCAGTCTAAATAAAAGTATATAGAAAATAATCTACTTAATTGAACGTTTAAGTTCACGGCTGCTCACATATACTCTAGAATAAGGTATCAAACGCATAATAATTATTCCATTTTAACGACGAAACAATGTCTCTTTCCTTAAAAGAGGGGCAAAAGATACCAAAAGGACAGTCAAACTCATAAATCGAAAATAAACTGACAACGCCATGGCTAAAAAAGAAAAAGACAAACAGACAAATAATAGTACACAAGACACAACATAGAAAACTAAAGACTAAGCAACACGAACCCCACCAAAAACTTGGGGTGATCTCAGGTGCTCCGGAAGGGTAAGCAGATCCTGCTCCACATGTGGCACCCGTCGTGTTGATCATGTTATTACAAACCCGGTAAATAGTCTAAATCGGAAGGTCAAGATCGTGTAAAGGGAAGGGGATTGAAGTTACGACATAAGGAACATATCCGATATCATCTGTGAAACGGTTATTCAAAACGGTCAACCAACTCGTGATGGCGTCCGCAAAATTTACGAAGGGATGATTTCAACTTCACCATTTAGATCTCTTGGTTTAATAGCTTTCTTGTGAGCAGCAACCCTCTACCAAAAAAATCATGATAAGAAATACAAGCCACAAATATAGCTACCTTGACATTAATATAAGGTCGTGTGTCTGAGATAAATTTGAGAATGGAAATGGGGAATGTGTCAAAGAGACAACAACCCGACCATAGAACAGACAACAGCAGAAGGTCACCAACAGGTCTTCAATGCAGCGAGAAATTCCCGCACCCGGAGGCGTCCTTCAGCTGGCCCCTAAACAAATATATATACTAGTTCAGTGATAATGAACGCCATACTAAACTCCAAATTGTACACAAGAAACTAAAATTAAAAATAATACAAGAGAGTATGGTATAGTGTATTTCCTACTGATCCTTCTCTGTGTCTATCCGTGCAAACAACCTTTTAAAAATTCAACTGATTTTTTCGTATGTTATCTATAGCTATAGTTGATAAAATATTCGTTGCGAAATCACAGTTGTTGTGAGATCGATATCTGAACTGTATTAATATCTATCATAAAAAATTAGGTATACATAGAGCATTGATCACTTCAGATTTTGTATTATCAAATATCTTCTGTAAGAAAAAAGAATACGGAACTTATAGCGAAATATATCAGCAATTAAAAATTCAGTACAAACAATTGTTTTTTTTTAACAACAGAGTACGCATTATATGTCGAATTTACTAAAGAAAGACCGAGATCAATTAAAGGAAGATTTATCAAAGTTAAGAATAGATGCAGACCGATGCAGCCCTCCTCAGCCATTACAAAGTGTAAACAGAGATATGGAGATAGAAGTGCAAATTGCTGATGAAGAACCTGGTCCAAGGTATTTTAAATAAACAAGCGTTTCGTACACCAAACAGTCCCTTAAAATCGTATAATACGTTTTACATGCCCAGACCAATGTACGATAAGAATGTTTGTGCATTTATCCCACAATAATCAATATTGTTCAACAGCTCTCACGTTCAGAAAATATCATCGTCGACTCTAAATTAGTTTTCCCTGCTATTTGAGTGACATATAGCCGCAATAGAGGGCCGAAAGATACCAGAGGGACAGTCAAACTCGCAACCTGCTTGATTCTATTGAGGAGTCTACTTGGCTGTTCAAGTTGTTTAATGTGTTATATTGCATTTAGCGTATATCTTCAAGATAATGTTTCGGTCCTTTAATGTCTAACTTATATTATTAATTATTATAAATTAGTTGCAGACCATCACCAAAAGATATGAGAAAATATAGATTTAAAGTCGAAGTAAAATATACTCCCATACGAAAGTTCAAGAAAAAGAAAAAGAAGCATCATCATAGACATTACAATAAAGGAAATTACGGTAATCTTTCTATTTTGATATTGCTCTTTTAAATATAAAATCACAAACAAAATGTATATTGTTCATAGATATAGGAAGATGTGGTATGAGTGCCAATGAGACAACTCTCCGTCCAAGTCACAATTTATAAAAGTAAACCATTATGGGTCAAGGTACGGTCTTCAACATGGAGCCTTGGCTAACACCGAACAACAAGCTATAAAGGGCTCCAAAAAATTACTAGTGTAAAACCATTCAACGGGAAAACCAACGGTCTAATCTATTCAAAAAAAAAAAGAGAAACGAGAAACACTTATGAACCTCTTACAACTTGGGTGATCATGCATTGTACTTGACCTTTTTTACTTTACCATCCATAGAAGACATTCTGATAATATATAAACACTGCAAAAATAAATACCTGCAATATAGTGTGACTTTATCATAGATATAAAAAGATGTAGTATGAGTGCAAATGAGACAATCTCCATCCAAGTCACAATTTGTAAAAAGTAAACCATTATAGATCAAAGTATGGTATTCAACACTGTGCTTTGGCTCACACCAAACAGAAAGCTATTAAGGGCCCACAAATAAGTGGTGTAAAACAATTCAAACAATTAAACCAATTGTTTATCTAAAATTAAAAAAAGGAGAAACACTTATGAACCACACCAACAAACGACAACCAATGAAGAATAGGTTCCTGACTTAGTACAGGTGCAAACAAACGCGGCGGGTTGAAACGTTTTAGAAGGTAAAAAACCTTCACCCTAACCTGAATCAGTAGTATAGCATTACAACAAAGAAAGACAAACTATAAAATATCAATTGAAAAAGCCAAACTTGATCAAAAAGGAATATTAACAAAAATAAATATATATTTAACAAATAAATTTGATCTATGACACAATATTAATACAATATGTAAAACAATGTCAAAAAGACATCTATAATCTGGGCAAATTGGCGTTAAATAAAATAACGTACACTGGTAAAATTAAATATTATTAGTTTTGTTGTTATATTCTCAAATTCCGCAGCTGCATTTGAAATTCCGCGAAATACAATGACGCTCGCGGTAAAATAGTTTCATCGAGTTCCAAGTTGGAAACACGCTTGCACTTTGAAAAATAGTAGACATATTGTTTACTTATTCTATATAAAAAATGATTATTAATGTATGATAAAATACATCATTTCTGTTCTTCACACCATGTATCATTAAACTCTACATGGGGAATATTAAGATATGGTATGATCGTTAATAAGACCAGAGTCCAAGTGACGTGGATATAAACACCTTTTTTTTTGTTAAATTGGTTATTCACTGTAAATCTACAACAATGAGTAAAACTCTTGTATAATGAAGTATTAAAGGTACCAACATAACAAAAGGTAAACAACAAATGGGATATCAAAATGACAGACATCAAACAACAACAAGAATTTAAAACACAGGGCTCTAGAATACAAATAGGCACATTGAGAATGTCTTAGGGAAAAACGTGCTTCTTGGTGCTCAACCTTAACCCCAAGCTTGAAACGGTGGTGTAACAACACAACATAAGATCAAATGTTAAATGCAGTTGAAAATGGCTTTACTCGTAAGATTGGCAAAACACACAAATCATAATTATGTTTTTGGAAAAAACGACATTATAGATATTTTTTTAAAGATTATTCAGCTTATAAACAAGACTTAATAGGACTGATAATATTAAAGTTAAATCCTTTTATCATTCGTACTTATGATAAACACGTACGTTTCAGTTCAACTTAAACATGTCAATAAGTCTGCGCTTTCTGGAGGTGAATTTTAGACTTGAGATTGTCAGTCTTTCTGGAAACATTTTAAGCATTGATTGGTTTATCAATCAAATATCGATTCTCTCTGTATGATAATGTTCGTAATGTATGTAAGATATATGTCAGAGGGATGTATATGTAAAAATTAGGCATTCGGGGTAAATAATGATTTAATAAGTTTTTCATGACAATTTATAAAATATTTGAAAAAAGTGCTTTTTTAAACTGTCTGCCCTGAGAATACGAACCTGCAGGTACAAAATATTGACGTCTCTTCTTTAAGTGTGCAAGCAATTTCAAGCATTCAAAACTGTTTGTACTGATGTCATTTTTTTTTCTTTTTGATACACTTATGAATTTGTAATATTTATTAGGAGGGAGGGGAAATAAAAAGTTCACTTTACGGCTAATGGTCTAAAAATATTATTTTCGTTGCTTTTCACTAAATTGACGGAAATTCCTATCTACAAAATAGATAGGTGGGCCTTGTGAACTTGACATTACATTGAAATAACGTTTTGCATTATTTTATGTTAGTGCTCCTGTTTCGGTGTCACAAACGGACATTTTTATTTATACCTTTGAACCATCGTACACAGGAAACAGGATGTACAGTCGTATACTTCATGCATAAACTTTTTTGTGTGTCTATAAATCATATATTTTTCACTTAACTATACAAGCAAATTATGACCCAATTGCAAATTGCATAACATATATAAGTTAACAAGTATAACGTTCTAAAAAGAAATGCAACGAAAATATACAAAATTAAAAACATAACGTTAAAGTACCCAATTTGCTGCCAATTTGAGTAAAAATGACGGAATTCTTATATATGTTTCTTATAGACTATATCAGACGTATTTCATTATTTTTCATTTTGCACGTCTTACAACATAACATGGCTTGATATTCTAAAATGTATACAAAACAGTCACATGGTATATCAATATAGTAATTCTCCCGGAAAAAAAGTAATTCTTCTTGCCACGTTTACAAACTAATATCACAGACATTCATAAAATACATAACAAGTATGGACTAACGACTAATTCATTTTTGTAATTGATAAACAAAATGTGTAGAAATAAAAATATCAGTAATTCGAATTTTGTGTAGCAAAAAGTAAAATCACACAATACCAACCTCCGAGGAAAATACAAAACGGAAAGTCCCTAATCAAATGGCAAAATTATAAGCTCAAAAATATCAAACGAATGGATAACCACTGTCATATTCCTGGCTTGGTACAGGCATTTCCTTTTGTATAGCTAGTTAGACCTCTCACTTGTATGACAGACGCATAACATTCCATTATATTGACAACGATGTGTGAAAAAGACAATTAAACAGACATAAGAGGTAAAAAGTCAAAATAGGGGTACAACAGTCAACGTTTTGTTATAATAAAAAATCCTAATCACTATAAAAACAAACAAATATGTTACAAAGGAACACAAAAAGGCATATATACAAAGCATATAAGCAAAAATGAAAGACAAGAATACAAAAAAATACCATAGCATTATAAAACAATGACGGGATGTATAAGTACCGAGCCACGTCAAACAGATATCACCAAAAATAGACTAAACAGTAAAAGTAATATTCAAAAAAAACAAATAAAAGAATACTATAACACGTTATTTAGATTTAAGAAACGTTAGTACCCAGAATTTATACTTCAAGACCATCATTTATTATTTATGAAGTTGATACGGAATATCTATCAACAAGGTCTTGGTACATTCCGATGAACTTTTTTTTAGGAAAAAGGACGAGACGTTCTTTGACAAACCCCTAGTTCATCAACTTTCTGCTCAGACACTGGTAAAAAGCATGGTTGCAATTAAAGTATTCCTAAATAGACAATCCCGGATCATTCTGGGTTTGTTCAAACTCATTTTTCTATGATCAAGTATTCAGAAGGGATACAGTTACGGTACTGTTGTCAGGTCATTAAAGATGGCATGTTTATTCCAAATAAAGGTTATGTGCTTCTCATATATCTTATGATGGTATGGTACTTAATCCCTAACGGGAGGGATTCTGCTTGATTTTCGTATGACGAAGACATAATCTTTCAATCAGTTTAATTAAGGGCTGGAGCTTGCATGTCAGTAAATGCTAAAAGTCCTTTGTAAATTTATGTATCATTGTCATTTTTTTTAATTTATTTTGTTACCTATTCTGACATCGGACTCGGACTTCTTTTAAACTGACTTTTACTGTGCGTATTGCTGTGTATTTGGTTTTTCTACATTGGCTAGATGTATAGGGGAAGGGTTGAGGTTCAATAAACATGTTTAACCCCGCCGCATATATGTACCTGTCCCAAGTAAGGAGCCTCTGGACTTTGTTAATCTTGTATGTTTTTTTAATTTTAGTTCATTTATATGTTTTGGAGTTTAATATGACGTCTATTTTCACTGAACTATTAGAAATTTTTGTTTAGGGGCCAGCTGAAGTCCGCTTCCGGGTGCATGATTTTTTTGCTGTGTTGAAGACCCATTGGTGGTTTACGGCTCTTTGGTTGGGCTGTTGTCTTTTTGAGACATTCCTCATTTCCGTTTTCAATTTTATTCAAAATGAACTTACTATGAAACTAAACAATAACTCAAGATATGTCTTTGAATAGTAACACTAAGTGTTTTGTTTTATTTCACCAAACACAAATTTGATAGCCCTTGGTGTAAGTAAGAAGGAATTAGGAAGAAAATAGGTAAACTTATGTCCGATTTTTTCGTTTAATGTGTGTAATCTATATGTGTATATATAATTTAATTTCGTTGTTTAGAAATGCAACATACTAGACATTAATATTGTCCAAAATAATTTCTTTGCATTTTTATAATAACATGCATTGGTTTGATTAAGAATTACTCCAAGTTACAATATAAAAAAAACACGTCACAACTTTCACAGGAATAGCATTATTTCAAATAATTATACTGGTTCATTTTTACAGATTTTGTTTGAAAGTGAAAGGCCTGTGTGACTATATAATGTCAAAAAACCAAGAACTTCCTATATATGGGGATAGCAGACATGGATCTAAACATTCAGATGATTCCACGGTTTAAGTCCTTCTTATATGAAATAAAAACAATTGTTTTCTGTTGTTGCTAATTTAAACACAGTTCTAATATGTTGTTTATATATAAATGTACATGTCTTTTATACTTCGACTTTGTGTGATTCAAATAAGTTTGAGAAAACAAAATACCTTTAACATCAGCAGTGTTAAAGACAAGATTTGTTATTTGTATAATACATTTGATATTTTACCGTTCAGAATATCAACTTACCTGTTCTATAATACATGATACAAGTATGTTATGAAGTAACTCATAATGAGTTCTATCAATTCGAATTTTGAAGCAATATAATCTAAGGCAACAGATATTTATCAATGAAAAAACATCATAAAAAGGTTGGGAAAGTAAAAAAAAAAAAAAAATACAAACTGCAGAAATCTCACTGAATTCCAATAGAGCGAAACCAGAATTGTCGACAGTTCTAGAGATGGCTGTCATTTTGTACATAAGGAAATGCATGTACTTAAACTAAAACTTAAACCTGTGTTGGGGCAGTGTTTGTTAACGCCATACAATGAAACAGATGGTAACTATGTTTCTACTGAAAAATCTGAAGTTGACAATTTGAAATTAGAAATGATCACGGTTGCCTTAATTTCTTGTTTGAAGTTGACCATATTTGGCAATATCGAAAAAAAGATAAAGATATGTAGCATACCTTCCAGTTTCTGGATGTATCCTTAGTCGCAAGTTCTTCTGGATATATGAAATAATATCACTCACTGAAATGTTGGTGAGTGACAGGATATCATCAATATATCTGAAAATGAATAAGAGAACATAGCATAACGCTTTTTCTTTTTATTTTTGTGACAGTTCTATATGAATTTTGTCTCGTTTAAGTTCAACACCTGGCTAGGTCGGCCAGTAATTGTGCACAATTTGAATACGCACTGTTCGTTAAAATGTCAATCTAACAAACTCAAGATATATGTTGTCGATATATATACATATATAAAAACAATCATTTTTGAATCAGTGTGTTTCCTCACAACGTAAAATTAACTGTAATACATAATGACTACATGTGTTGTAGTGTTAAAGTTAAAACAAAGTTTTAACAATAACATTTAGAAATGAAACAATGCTCTGCGTTGTTTTTGAGATCTAATATATATACTTTTCGTACATTTCTGATAGTTTGAACCCTGGAAATAAAATGAATCCACAATAATTGTAGAATTTCCGCTAGAAAATTGAAAATCAATTGTTTCATTGTGTGAACAAAGTGAAAAAGTGTATGCATTACATAAGGCCGTACGTAAGAATAATAAATGAATGAGGAATGTTAGTTTTTGGCAATGCAGGTTACTGCTGATTTAGGACTCAAAGATAAAAAATAGAAGATAAGGTAGATATAAGAAAAGTATAAAAAAAAGGAGTAGGTAGTGATGCATAGTTTCTGACCATTGTATCATTAGGTAATTATTTCAACATACGCAATTCATTTAAGGTAGCCTTTATCACAACTTCATATCATAAACCTGGATATGTATGATGGCTCGTTTCGGAGCTGAGACATTATCACATAAATGTTATGGTAACATGTTTGGGGTAAGATGTGTGATTTGGGTTGCGGCTTCTCAAGGTAAAAATCTCTTTTTCCCACAATAGGTTCTTTGAAAATTGTGTTATTTGCATACATTGAATTTCTCCGAGTTTTAAAACCTTTATTCTATGATCTTTTGAAATCGTCACAAATAGTCAAGCTCAGTCACTTGCTAAACCTGAAACATTTCCAATATCAATGCAACGATATTTCTTTATGTTTTGGTATTATTTTTGTATGACACAATTTGAGGCGCATTAGTAATGGTGTCCCAATTGATCACCTGAGATCACCCAAGGTTTTAGGTGAAATTCGTATTAGTCACTTTTTAGTTTAGTATATCGTGTTTTGTTAACAGTTGTTTGTCTTTTCGTCATTTTTTGTTTCTTACCGTGGCATTGTTAGTTTGTTTTCAAGTCATGAGTATGAACGTCACTTTGGCTCTCTTTTAAAATGTAAGTTTGAGAATTTAAAATTTAAAATGGAATCTGAACATAAAATCGGAAGACTGTCAAACATTTCTACATTTGTAATCGCGTCAATTGAAAATTTACCTTCTGATCACAGAAAAGATTGAATGTATAGATTATCAATCACTAGACTTGCATGACGTGTTTGCAAAGAAGTTAGCCATTATATAACCCCCAAATATCAATGTTAAGCATTTCTTGATAATGTGACTTGTACCTAACGTTTCGTCTTTAATGTTGATTTACATACACATAGACAGTGTTTAACTTGTTTGTTTTAACATAAACAGTAGATAAGTTATTTTTGATAGAGTTTACCTAGCTATGCGTCGCTAGGTGAACCCAATTTGCAACTGTTAAATTTTTGTTTGACGAAAGCCAAGCTTAAAATACAATACAGTTATCTCTATTCAAATCCAACATATTAAAATAAATTCCATTATAGTAAATATTATGGCGTAAAAGGCATTTGTAATGGACGATGTAACATATTTAAGATTTGTTTTTCTACCGTTTACCAAAAGGTAAAATAACAAGAATACCGAACTAAAAAGAAAATTCAAAACGGAAAATCCCTTATCAAATGGCAAAATCAAAAGGTTAAATACATCAAACGGAGGGAAAACAACTTTAATATTCCATACATAGTACATGCATTTCCTTATGTAGCAAATGGTTTATTAATATAAATAAGAAGATGTGTTAGAGTGCCAATAAGACAACTCTCCATCCAAGTCACAATGTATGAGAAATAAACAGTTATAGGTCATAGTACGGCCTTCAACACGGTGCCATGGCACATACCGAACAGCAAGCCATAAAGAGCCCCAAAATGACTAGGGTTGAACAATTCAACTGAAAACAAAAATCTTATGGTTAGCTGAACTTCTCACTTGTATGACAGACGCATAAAGTTCCATTATATTGACAACAAATGGTGAACAAAACAAAAAGATATTTGGTTAACTTTTACAAATTTGACTTGGATGGAGAGTTGTCTCATTAGCAATCATACCACATCTTCTTATATCTATATAATAGGTAAAGACGTACAGCAGTCAACATTGGGATTTAAATTTAACTCTATAAAAACAAACATGGCATATGGACAAACACATTAGCAAAAATGAAAGACAAGAATACAGAAAATGACTATAGCACAATAACACAATGGCGGAATGTATAAATACCGAGCTACGCAAAAAGCATATAACTAAAATTATTAATTATATTTCAGTGATAAATAACTTATCATTACAGAGGGGAATACGCGAATGTGAGATAGAATAATGCAGTGGTAGTTAACCAATTTTCAAATTTCACGGTTCGATAACTATGTCATTGATACAGAACTTTCAATTGTGTATATCTCCTACGTGTGCACCACATTTTTTAAGATCATGTGCAAATTTCTTTTCAATGATATACTTTCTGGTCATTTAACAGATTCTGATCAGTGTAACATCCAGATTCTATGTTTTTATTCACCGCAAAACAATCTCTTAAATAGAACGTCACTGTGGCTTCTGAAAGTAAACAAAACAACAGGTGTTAGGTTTAATGTACAGGTTTACACTCAGAGCTCCACTAATACAATTTTAATTGGTAGAATAACTCAATTCATATGCTAAAACACATTTCATTTACTGATAAGGAATGAGTTTTTTTTTTATTGTAGTACACTAATATGACACAAGGAATCTTACGCGACTATCAAACAAGTGCGAGGTACTTATAAAACCAGGTTTAATCCACAATTGTCTACATAAAGAAATACCTGTACCAATTCAGTAATATGACAATTGTTTTCCATTCCATTTGTGTAGCTAACAATCGAGACAGAATTGAAGATCAAGTCAGAGATGTAGTTCAACTTCAAGTTACTGTTCGTATCTACATGTTTTCCTTTTTCCGTCTTTCGATTTTTTTTCTATGTTTTAGTGTCACGCCTTCAATTCAGCCATTAGAACCTATTTATAAGTAGGCCTACTCTGACAAAATCTCAGTGTTGATCACGCCACGATGTTCTTTTTACTAAATCTAGTAAAAGTGTCCTAGATTCTAAGTTGTGTACATAAGGCATCTGCCAGAAATTACCTAAAAACGACACTGCAAAATTTACACTTCAACGAAGAGTACCACATTTGTTTATTCAGTTGTCAACTGGATCGATGGACATGGACCAAATAATACATTTGTTGCATTAGTTTTCGCCGTTGCGTTTGTACACTCTGGATTGACAAATTTTCTCACATAATCTGGTATAATCATTTGGATTACTGATGGGCTTATGCTACCTTCTGCACAATGCTTACATTCTGTACATATAAAAAGTAGATATGAACTGGTCTTTTATTTAACAACTAAATACACAAATCTTCATAGGGCATCGTTATTTTTTTTTGGAAATACAAACGGAGCGATCAAAGTCAATGGTGGTAGAGAACAGAAAAACTGTGACACCGAAGTTTCCTGGCTGCATGTAGTCCATTTTTAAGGGACAAAGATATACTTTGATTATGCAATATTTTTTTCATTCTTTATAAGGTGTCTTCTTTGCTTTATAAAATATCATAGAATTATATGAGCTATCTTTCGTTTTGTAAAAGATGTCATTTAAGGTTTATGAAATGTCTGTCAATCATATGAACGATCCTACATTCTTCAAAAAATACTTGGGTTGCTTTATGAGATATACACTTCTTTTAAACTGAGTTTAACTGTGCGTATTGATGTGTGTTTCTTTATTCTGCATTAGCTAGAGGTATAGTGGGAGGGATGAGATCTCACAAAACATGTTTAACCCCGCCGCATTATTGCGCCTGTCCCAAGTCAGAAGCCTCTGGCCTTTGTTAGTCTTGTATGTTTTTTTTTTCAGTTCATTTATATGTTTTGGAGTTGAGTATAACGTTCATTTTCACTGAATTGGATTTTCTCGCTGCGTTGAAGACCCATTGTTGGCCTTCGGCTGTAATCTGCTCTTTGGTCGGGTTATTGTCTCTTTGACATATTCCCCATTTCCATTCTCAATTTTACATAAATTATGTTATTCATTATAAAATCAA